CAAAATTTTTTGAATTATTTTGAATATTCAAAACTCTAAAAGGAACTTCTATTTTTTCATTTATTGTTTTTCTAGTTTTTGTTTTATTGTTGGAAGTTATCTTTGCTACTTCTTGAGGGTCATGCGGCTTCAATCTTGCTATATTGCAAGTGGTACGAAGCTCAGCTTCGCCTCAGTGTGTAAATCTAAAGGATGAACCGTTAATTTGTTTTCTTTTTATAAATTTTCATTAAAAAATTTTTGCGTGCTTTTTAACGTCCTTGCTTCTTATGAATCTGTTCGATTTTTAAAAGGTTTATGAAGGTTGCTAAATTGATAATTGACAATAGTAGTTTGATATATTACCAAAAGTCGTGTTTTAATTATTTTGTCTGCGACGACTAAACGCTCGCTGAAATTCGGCCTTAATTTTCCCGGAGATAGTCATTGTCATTACCATTGAAACCGAAAGGAGCGTTTTAACTGATGACTAGACTTTTCCTCCGTTCAAAACTTATTCACGTGATATTTTTTTAATCAAAACCTTTTTTCTAAAAAGTTTTTTGTTTGCTTGATTAAGCTAGCAGTAAGTTAAGAAAACAGTGATTAGGCTAAAAAAATTTCCACTGATTCTTTTTGCCAGTTTTCGTTTTGCTTATTTTTACGGCTGCCTAAAATTTAACAAGTGTTTCTTGAGCTTTTTGTGAGGCGTTTCAGTAAAAATCGTCAAAACAGTTTTTATTTTTCTTTTTCCAGCTTTCTTTTTTAATTCTGTTTCGCAAATTACTATGAAGTATCATTTGTTGCATACTTAAGATTCATTATCAGACTTGACGCATTTCTGAAAACACAAGAGTTTTGCAAAGAAAATATTGCTTCTGTTTTTCACCAAGAATTCTTTTTGACCACTTTTTTTGTGTTTGATTTCGTTTTCTGATAACGTATTTCCTATAGTATTCCATAAAAACTATTTGGTGAATGACAAGGAGATAGGTGTGCTCTTGATAATGAACTTAACAAGGAGCATAACAAACTGGACGCGTTTCAGAGGGTAATTCAACGAATTAGGTAGAAGACAAATAATTGTTTCGCAACTTGCTTGCCCCCAAATCGAACGAAAAAAATACTAACTGCTGTTGCAAATAGTGATCAAATGTTGGGCTGATAATTTTCTAATTAAGGGCTTTGCTTCGCTTTTGTTGACGTTATTGCCCATACTTGTCTATTTAGTTCAGTGTTTAGAGCATACCCGTCATGTGGCTAGGTTTTTTTTACAAAAAGCAAGCGGTTTATATGAAAATTTGTTGGAATCACAGTGTATCATAGTAGAGCATAGTCAAATCCGTTTTTTTCGACATTGAGAGATCTTTTGAAATTATTTTTCTTTCACTGTCGGATTGAAGAGAAAAAAGGGTTTTGATGTGACACAAAGGGCGTCAACCTTGTACGTGCTTTTCAGGCAGCCAAAAATGGGCGAGAAAAAACTTTAGGCCATATTTCCTTCCCGATCTACGAGAGTGGTCGGAACAAAAAGATGCCTTTTTTACGAAGTCGAAGTGTTGATAGGTTTACCAATTCAATCACACACTCTGTAAATCAGGATCTAAGCATCATCGCTATGACTTATTCCTCAACAAATACTATAAACATTTACCATCGAAGCGTATGTTCTCAATTGAGACCTACGAATCACGGATTGCAGCGCGTCGACTCCGTTTATCTGAATGATGAAAACATTCTCCTCGCTTGGAACTTTAGAAGAAAGATTTGCGTTGCATTCAGAGGTTGCTTTGGTTTTGTTTGGGTTGCAATTAAAGCTTTCAAATTCGAGTTTGAAGATAGTTTCAAAGATTTGAACTGGGAACGAGTCGAGCATACTTCAGCAAATATTTACATATTGGTGTCAGGAGTTATTGAACCATGGGTTCTGCCGATGTCGAAAGTATCTGCAAATTTGCCCAAATTATAAGTTTACGAAGGTTTTAGTTATTTATAGTTTGTGCTGGTAATTCTAATCAACTAAGATATAGGTGGTTTATAAACCTGTCGATATATAAAGCAGATACCTTAAAATCAGCCGAAAATACATAACTGTGACATAATAGTTAAATAGCAATTTTGTAACAGTTACGAAAGTCACGCAAGATTTATTCAATGAAGTGATTTTTAACTGGTTTCATTATGCTCTGCGGTTATTTTCGGCTGGTTTATTCATGCTCCTAGCTGTGTTCCAGAGTAGTTTCATTAATCTTTTTGGCTACTGCCAGAGGTTTTCGATCTAGAGGCTGAATTAAGTAGAATTCTGCAGTAAGAATACCGCAGGAGCATGCTGCAGTAAGTGGAAGCGTGAACACGTTAAGCGATCTTATGACCAAGTGCGAGGAATATCTTTGCCTTTAGGTTATAGGCAGTATCAATAAGTTCCGATTTTTTTTTCTTTTTACCCAATATTATTCTTGACATTTTGTGGAAATTTAAGAAGTATATAAAATAGTAGATTTAGATATTTAATGTGCATTGTCTCTTAACCCATCATTCGAACATCGTGTGATAATTCGAGAGTATTAGGACTTAAATCATACAAGATTTGATGTAGAAATGTTAATTGATTAAAACTTGAAGAAGATTTAAAACTGTTGCCATCTTTTTTGTTGTTAAATCATTAGTTTGAGCTAACTTGTGTAATTACGTTTTTTCCTAGGGCCCACATCTTAAGGACCTTGTGCCTAGCGTTGGTCCTGGGCGGTCAAAATTTTATTGATTATAAAAATGAATTGCTGTAAATGTCATTGATATTGTCCGCCGAAATTTTTTTTTATTTTAAATAATTCAATTAAATTCAAGTAATTTTCAAGAAAGTATTGTTCCCTTATACATGAGTGAAACGATATATCGAAGCTTTGATTCTTTGTTTAATAAAATTGGTTGGGCTATCAATTGATTCTACAAGTCTAGCTTTGTTATTTGAGGCTGTATAGTTAGAAGGAAACGTGTAAACTACGAAGGAAGCTTAATAGATTAGAGTAATTTTTTTCAGGCAATAGTTGATTACTTAGCACTAGTTCACTCGATAGTTCGTTATTTGCCAATTAAGAAAATTTGAATTGATTTTGATGATTTTTATCTGTTTACATATAAGATGTCTTTGATGATTTTTAACTGTTTGCGTATTAGCAAACGAAAAATGTTAAAGAAAGAAATGGGGCTTTTTCCTCTAGTTTCCTGGTCTTGTCAAAATCCGAAACGTGTTTCTCAGAATTAAAGCGAGGAATCGAAAGAAATAAATCAATGGCTTTTGAAGATTCGTAATTATTGTTCTACCAGAATACAATACTATCGTTTCACTGTTTGACAAATTTTAAGGTCTTTTCGGCATGTTTCTTTTGATTTCTAATTTGATTAAAAATATTTGTTTTGAAAAATATAGGATTGGGTTGTTTCATTTTTCTTTTCTTGACGTTTTGAATTTTTTCCTTAATTGCAAAAAATAAGTTTTTTTTATTTCAAAGCCTTTTCTACCGGTTTTCAAAAGGATATCAATGGAAAGGCCTCCTACACCTTTTTGTGACGGCATACTCCCCTAGTCTCTTTTAACTTTACCCCTCGGTCTACATTGTTCGTAAAATCCGTGGGAAAATATTTGACCCATGTTTTTGATTTTTTGTTCGTTTTCGCAAAAACTACCCTCTCACATCTGAGATTGTGCGTTCAATGGAGATAACAGGTAGTTGGAAGCTCCACTGCAATTGCGGCGAACCACAAACTTTCTTACGCAAAAAGTTATCGTCCTCGGAAAATTCATTTTTTGACCGTTTTTTTTAAACTTTGAGTTTTCTCGAAAACTACCCTTCCATATGTTAGATTTTGGGTTCAATCCAAAAAATTGGCTGTGGGAGGCTCTTTTGCAAATCCGAGCAGGCCCAATTTTTTTTGACACAAAAACCTATGGCCCTCGGAAAAGTGAAAATTTTGATTTGTTGACCGTTCTTAGGACTTTTTGACTTCTTTTCGAGAACTACCCTGCCAAATCTGAGGTTTTGGGTGCAATCGAAAATACAGGTTCCTTGAATGTTTTCTGCTGAAATAGCTACGCTGAAATTTTTTTGTAAAGAAAAGGCTTTGATTCTCGGAAAAGTCAAATTTTTTGTCGTGGTGTAGTCAGATTTGTGGCCCTTGATATCAGAGATGTGGCATTAAGGGTTGAATTTAATTAACAGGTTGTTGAAAGCCTATCTTTAGAAATAGCCGCACTAATTTTTTTTTAAGAAACACAGTAATTGCTTTCAAAAATTTTTTGAAATGTTGACTAGTTTTGACTTTTCACCAAAGTTACCCTACCAATTCTCAGGTTAAGTGGTGATTCGAGAAACCCGCTTTTGAGAATCTTCTCTGCTGGAGTGGCCTTGGCGTACTTTTCACTTATTTTAGCAGAGAAAGAACAATGGTTTTGGGCAAAGTTCTATTTTTGAAATTACCCATTTCATGCCGCATCAGTGAAACAAATTCAAAAACTGTTAAAAACTTACCTCCAGCTTCAGAATATACCTGTTATATTTTATCGATACACACAAAAGTTTTGGTTCACCAAAATTTTTTCTCCTTTTGTTTTTATGTCTGTATTGTATCGCAAGTAGTGCGAAGCTCCGCTTCGCCTCTGTGTTTGATTTAATGAATACAATTATTACTGAACTTCTGTGAGAAGTTGTATCTAACACTAGCAGCAATTTTTTTTAGCTAACTCTAAGATGCGTTTCAGCAGTTCTTGTTCTACGGAAGTTTTGTCGATTCTGTTTCTGAGTAAAATCTACTTACTAACGCTCTTAATCCAATAGTTTTTTCCCATTATACTGTGCGAGAAAAAAATTGAATTTTTTTTTCGTTTTAGAAAAGTTTTCTACGTAGTTTGGATACCAATTAGCCATATTCAGCTGTCGAATTATTGAGTAATCAAAACTAAAACAAACAATTAAGTAACATTATTTGATCATGGCTTAGTTAAATTTATTCTATTTTCAAGATTGAAAAATGAGTTTTACGATCACGCCCGAGCCAATGGCAGCTCCCATGTCAATGGCAGATGGAAACACTACTGACTTAAATTGTTCTAATTGCGATGTTGCATTACGTTCGGATGAATTTATGCGTTGTTCAACTTGTGTATGTGCCAGCGAGACTGTCAAAGTGTTTTGTGACACTTGTATTTGTGCGCATACTCGTCGTGGACATAAAATATTGGATCATAGTGGGTATGAAATATCCGTATGCGATGACCACAAGATTATAAATGATCTGTTTTGTATACCGTGTTCGCAAGTGTTGTGTAGCAAGTGCCTTCATAACCACAGGTAGAGAGGACCTTTTCAACCATTAAAGAGATGTATTTTTTTCATTCAAGCAAAAGTATTTATCGTTTTCCTCCAATTAAAATTAGTTACGGGGGTGCAAAAATTTAGGTAACTGAGCCTCCGGTAACCTTTCCTTTTCTTTATCGAAATTTTGGAATGTTTTTTTTTGTCAAGATTAATGAACGTAGTGAGTACTCTTATATGCGTCTTGCTAATTTTTTTTCTTTTTTTTTTCAGGAAAAATTTGTTCACGCTCAGTTTTGATTTTTTGCGGTTTGACTTGTGATTACTTTTTAAGTTCAGTGCATTTCTATTGTTAAAAGAAGGCAAACTCTACTATCGAACAGCAGAATTGTAAAGGTTACGAAAAACGTGAGCGACTTCTGATTTCGAAAATGAAATTAATTCTCAGATTTCCCAGCGAAATATAAGTTTTACCTATTGATCCAGTTTTCTCAAATTGGGTTATTTTAAACAAAAAAGTGTCCATCATAAATTGTTCAAAAATCCAAAAACCTCTAAGGCAATCTATTTTTCTTCGAAATTCAAAAGTTGAAGATTTTCGAAAAACAAGTCGATTTTTTTCAGTTTCCTTGCGTTCCTTACTCTTTTCCATCTGTCAGTTGGCAATGTTTCAAAATTGCAATGTTTGATTGTAATTTTTAACGACGTTTTTTTTCATTCTCAGAATGTAGTTCATACACAATCTTGAAGTTATTTATTAAACAATTATTTAAGTACTTTATATTAATAGTAATGAACGTAGTAAAGACTCTAATATATGTCTTGGTGATTTTTTTTCAGGAAAAAGTCTTAAAATGCTTTAATAACTACAGATGTGCATTCATACATACTAATGCATTTATGAATGTACTTAGTTATATACGCATTTGGTGAGTTTACTTGAAGTTCATCTGCTGAAAGTTTTACTCTCTACAAACGAACGTGGAAATGACGCAAAAACACGAACAATTTCTAGTTTTGAAAGTGAAATTTAATTTTTAGATTTCCAGCGGAATAAAAATTTAACCTATTGATCCAGTCTTTTCAAGATGAGTTGATGTTGTCAAAAAACGCCAATCATATATTTTTCTAGAAGTTCAAAGAGCTTTAAGTGTTTCTTTTTTCTTTGAAATTCAGAAATTGATGTTTTTTCATCAAAGTGTTTTTTTTTCTGTTTACTTGCGTTCATTACTCTTTTCCAACTGTCAGTTGGCTATGTTTTATTAAGTAAATTAGAAATTGAATATATTTTTGCGTTTATGTTAGACTCAGTTACCGATAAAGTCTTGGCAACGGGTAGTGCTTTGATATGATTAATAGTCCATTTGACATTGAGGAGAAAATTGAAACCCCAACGCAAAATATTTCTCAGTTTTTATAGGAGCTGTAATATATTTATTACTCGCCAGTCATTTTATTGGATATTTGTTAGTAGATTATTAAGAAACTGATGAAAAGCTGAAAACATTAGTTGTTTGTTCGCCTTGATTGAATTATTATTTTAAAAAGAATTTTGCCCCTAAATTATCTCCAATGGATTTACTTTTAATCCAAAAAATTATGATTCGTTCAGTTTCTCAAAATAACGCTAAATCCTTTTCGGATGCAAATTTTAAGTTTTCATAATTGGCTCTTTTCTTTAATTTTTAAATCAGAAAACAAGATTCTTACCTCTCAGAAAACACAAGATTCCAAAGACCGCCAATTGAAAGTGTTTGAATAACTTTTGAAAAAAATAATATTTACTTTTTTCTGAATCATGGCTTTTCCAGCATACAATTCGAAAAAGTATCTGGCCGTAAAAACAAAAACACAGTTGGATGAGGTTACCTTTTTTACCGTATTACCGAGCCATTTGTACCATTTTTTTCAAACTTTTTCAAAATGTATCTTTATTGGGAACTTCGTGCTTTTTGCACAGCAAGGTCAAATCTATTCTGAATTTGAGTTATAAGATGGGTCCTCTCTGGTAAAAATAGAGGTCACAAGTATCTTACTATGGCAGAGAAGCGAGTTGAATCCACAAAACAAATTTTTGAATATCTTACGGATTTCGAAATTCTGAGCAAAGACATAAAATTTCATGAAATGATACAACTTGACGCTGCAGACCAAAGAAACACTTATACCGTTGAAGATATAATTGAAATTATAGTTAAAATGAGTGAAAAATTGCTTCGGGAAACTGCAACGTCGCAACAGCAAAAACCGAAACTTGAACAACTGGCAAGGGTTTTAAATGAAAAAAATAAAGTTGCATCTCAAGAGCTTCAAAAGCATACACAATTAGTGAATGAAAGCGACTCATTGGTCAAGTCACTGCGTGAAAACTTACAGAACTCAAATAGCGTTTTGGTGGAAAATTTTTGCAAAGTTCGAAAAAGCTTGGAACAATCTTTGGAGCAGCAAAATCAAGTTTTGAAGACTCACGCGTGCTTGAAATTATTACATTTTGAGCGAGCTGATTTAAAACTTCTCATGGAAAATGTTTTCGAGGTTTGTTTGCGGTCAATTGAATGGCCTAAAATTGCTTACATGCCTTTTGTAAAAAAGAAATTAACAAAATGTCAGTTATTCCCAGAGATTGACCGAAATCAGACACGAAGTTGTCTAAAAATGTCCGTCTTGGAAGGAAATTACTTTTTAATGGCTAATATACAGGAAAGTAACCTATGCTTTTCTTTGCTTGCATATGTTCCGGGTCCACAGCATTGCAAAATGTGCCAGAGTTCTTTGCTTGAGTTAGTTAGAGCTCGAGCAAACAAGATAGCAACAAAAAAGGGAAGATATTGTAGTTTGTGCGAGAAGGATGAATCTGGGTTACGAGTAGCTCTTTTTAAAAACAGGAAATTATCCATAACTGTTTCTACAGAATTCTGGCGAATTCGCCAATTTGTTAATTTATCGAATCAGCCAAATTCGTGTTATTTTGCGCTGCTGTTGTCAGCAGAAGTTTTAGTCCTCCATGTCTTTCAACCGATTTACATAACTGATAGGGAAGCAGCGATTATTACATCAGAACCGTTTCCCGGTATATATCCATCAAATTGTCTCTACTTTTTCAATAACCCAGAGCCGAATTGTCTAATTTGGGATCCAGAACTGAAAGTCATCCGGCCATTTTTCGAAATTGTTGGCTATGAAAATATTCCTTGCGATGAGAAACCAACTCTACTGACGTGCAGCAAAGTTGGAGTGTTCGAATTAAGAAATAAGAATTAATAATCGTTAGATTTTGGGGCAATGTTTTTTTAATGAATTTTTGATTTACAAACACTAACCCTTATCCCACCTGTGTTTTAACTTAGCTATAGGTTGCAAGATTGTAAATTGAAGATCGCAACTAAAAATAATTCGGCCATTCTTGGAATTGATACCTTTGAAAATAATCAATACGACGAAAAACCTGCAATAAAGTTGGAGTGGTCGAATAAATTTAAGTTCAAACTTGTTTTTTTAACAGTTTTTTTGTTATAAACAGAAAGAATTTGTTTTTTCAACCCTAGCTTTTTGAGTTAATTTTGTGGTTTCGTTTTTTTTCAATCATTATCTTGTTGCGAAATGTTTATTGTATAGCAAGTGTTGAGAAGCTCCGCTTCGCCTCTGCCTAAGAATTTTTTAACCCAAGAAAAAGACTCGCATTAAGCAACTTTGTGGTGTAATTTTTCTGGGAAACTTAAAAATTGAAAAAAAAATTTCACTCTGTTTGTCAATACTTTTCCAATTATCTGTTTAATCTTTGTTTTGAAAATTGCAACGAGCGAAAATTGCAATATAAAATTTGCCTCAATTTTTTTCCTACTAAATAGAATTTATTTTTGTTCAATGTACTACTGTTACGTTTTTCTAGGAACTGTTTGGTATGCGGTGCAAATTTTAAGGTTTTCTTCAAACCAATCTTAACAAGGATCGGAACCTTGTTTTTTCAGAAAAGTCTTCAAATTGTTCCTGCTTTTTTTTTCATTTCGCAGTTTGTTTCTTGGTTTCTTCAAGCTAGTTTTTCATGATCAGTTGGGGGACAAATTTTATTCAAATTTGGTTTTTGATTTTAAGAGGAATAGAAAAATGTTATTCCATGGTTTATTTTATCGAAGTAATTCAAATGAATTACTTTGATAAAAAGTAGTTGAAAGAGCATGAGGTGAAGTTGAAAGAGCTTTAGTTGGTGTAGTTTTCGCAGTCAGTTTTTAATAAGTAATAAAGATGTTTCCTAGTTTTATCAGTATCAGTCATATTGAAATTTGGTGTTGTGATGTAATTTGTGTTTTTGTGATGATGTGTTTTTTATTTGGTTTATGAAACACTAAATTTTGTTGAAAAGGGAATCAGTGATTTCGGTTGTCTTAAAGTTATGTAGGTTTCTAATTGAATGTTGGCTTTGCTAATTCGAAATTGTTTGTTTTTCAGTGATTCGTGTAATCAGAGTTTTATAAGCTACTCGATTACGACGAAATTTATTAGTTTTGCCTGGTAATAGTTTTTTTTTAGTTTTTGATCCTTCCATTTTTCAATATCATTTGAGAAACTATTTTTTAAGCTAGGAACTTTTTCAACAAATTTCATATTTCAAGAGCCACTGTCAGAATTGCAGGCATGATCTCAGTGTGCTAAGTTCTATATAATAAGGCGAAGGAAAATTTTGTTAATCGTTCAACTATCAATAAAAGTAACATTTAAGCTTCTATGGAAACGTTAAGTTGGTCGTTTTTCCCCAGACGAAATCATTGAGGTCAATTTTTTTGAAGTTCTTGCTTCACAAATTTTTATAGAAAGTTAGTTTTGAAAATCTCGCTTTGTCATCGGATTTTGTATAATTGATTTGCGACTGTACTTGTTTGCTTAAAGCATTTTTTGTCTTTTTTAGCGATATAATACAACCCGTTTTTTTGTTCAAGAGTGTTGAAAACAGGTGTTAACTCTTGAAAACTGTTTGTTCGGGAAATTTTTCGGTTTCCTTGTGCTCAGGATAGCAATCGTCTTAAGAACGGTTCTCGTTCTTTTTTCTTGTAAACAAAATACGTATCTTTTGGAGTTCATATTCCTTTCAGTGCGTGACTGCCTCTCTGCACCAGAAATATTCCATTCCTATATTAAGTGCGTAAAGGGATTACTCAAACTATCCCTTCTGAAACTGTTTTCCATTGTTTGCTTTAAAATTTGCTTTTTTTCATTTCAAAGGTTGTCTTCTTAGAATTTCAGGCTTTTATAACTTAACAATCCAACTGCATGAAAAATTTGAAACTCAAAGAAACAAAGAGGCCGTTTAGATTTTTTGTGAACGTTCCAGTTTGAATTATGCATTTCAAACGTGTTATGCATTTCAAAAGTTTTATTTTATGTTTAAAACAATATGTGGAATTGAAACTGTTTTGCCATCGTTTATTTTGGTTTCCCTTTTATATGTATTGCTTTCGTTTTTTTGTCGTATATTTTTTGTTCTTCGTATAACAGTATTCAATGTTTTGTATAAAACTGTGTTCTTAGTTCTTTGATTTTTGGTTTAAAAAACTGTTTTCGCAATGTATCATATTACTTGAGCATGCTAAGTTGCGTGCTGCTGAAACATTTTTACTTGAAATAATTTTTATCAAACACTCCGTCTTCAGGAATTCAATTTAATTGCTGCGTATTTTCATTCCAACGGTTTACTCACAGTTTTCAAGAATAACAAACCATCTCACTTAACGCTTTCACACCATGGATTACAACGTGTTGACTCCGTATTCTTCAATGACCAAAGCGTTCTCCTAGCTTGGAATCTCAGAAAAAAGGTATGTGTGGCTTTTCGTGAGAGCATTAACTCAAATTGGATTGCAGTTAAGGCGTTTCAGATAGAGTTGGAGAATGATTTGAACGAATCGACTTGGGAACGCGTCGAACATAGTAGCTCGCATATTTTCGTATTTTCATTGGGAGTAATTGAACCCTGGGCTCTGCCAATGATAACGATATCCAACTAATTGCCTAAACATAGATTTTCTATTTGGAACTTTTGTGCATAATTTTCATATATTTTTTTAACTACTGGAACTCCACGCAAAATAATTGTACTTAAGATGATGAGAGCATATTTAGTTTGGCTGAATTAATTTTAATTAATTATTGTATCAAATTAGGCCTTGAATAAATTATATCGTTCTATCAAATGAAATTGAAATTTACAGTTTAAATAAAGTTTTTTCAAGCTAGCATTAAATGTTTTAATAGTTTATTTTTTTTTCGTGATTTGGATTACAATAATTTTTTACAAAAGCTTTTTTTTCAAAGACTCCTGATTCATTACCGCGAAAAAAATTAATGGGTTAAAGGCAGTTTCCATTCCAGTGATAGGCATAATTTTTTGTTGCCGGAAATCAGTAAACGATACTTTTTCAAAACCAATTTGATCTATAGAAAATCCCGATTTAGGTTTTTGTTTTGCTTTTGCTTCTAAAATGTTGTAGATTAGAATAGCCCACTACTATATGGCAAAGCAACTTCTTTCTGATAGTTCTCGTATGTCATGTGAGAGAGTAAGGTTGTCTTTTGGTTAAATTGGGTCTAGGACAACAGACCGACGGGTCTATTGTCATCTGTAAAACATTGCTTTTCATCTGTAAAACATTGCTTTTCAAAAATTTTGGCAAGTTTACTCCATAAAAAGTGTTATTTATGACAATGCACCACTTGGGATTGGCATCAGTTAATAACATCAGCCGGTTTTTGAAATGCATTTATTATAAACATGAAAAACGCCTTCAACCGTGCTTTATTTTTCAACTTTCCTAAACATCAGTTAGAGGCTTAATTTTTTATGAAAACGCCAATAACTAGTGAATAAAATTAATTAAATTTGGAAATTCTTCAAAAAAATTTTCAATTTAATCATATTTCTCAACTCAACAATAATTCTCAAAATATTCGGCTTGAAGTTCCTAATTTTACGATTCGGCTTGAATTACCGTCCGCTTGATGTCCGGCACCCGGTTTAAATATCATGTGCGTGTATAATTACAAGCATAATAGTCACCGAGGGTGGAATCCCTCATGCGCGAAGGACCGAATGCGCGAAAACAAAAATCAGCCAATCAGATTTCTGTTATCTAAAATTTGGAAAGAAAGTACACATTTCCAGGGACTGAATATTGATATTGGCCGAATATAAAAACGGCAGAAATATGCAAAGTTTTCAAATTTTTACTGACCGCCGCGAATTGGAACGAACTTTGAATGTCAAGGGTTTCATTATGAAAGAAACAAAATATTGCTTCATTTAATCTAGCATATATTTAAATGCGGGCTTCACTATCTCGCCATGTTTAAGCTTTTTCAACGTATTATTTTTGCATGTTTAACGAAAGAACTTTTTCACGTTTAAGCGATATCGTATATTGCAATGGTTAAGATTTTTTGTAATCTTCCAATTAGAATTCAGTGGTTATTTCACCGAGTTGAAATTTGGCCTCCAGTTACGAATGTCCAAATCCTTTTAGTGTACGGCATTTTTGTTTTTTTTTTCAAAAATTTTCAGAAAACTCAAATTACAAATTATTTTAAAACAATTGAAATTTCCAACCCTGTATTTGAGTGCTGTCAGAGTACTCTCAAGGATTGCGAATCTTGCCTCCAAATATGACTGCTCAAATCCTTGCAGTTTCGAGATACGTCGTGCTTTATGATTTCTCTTTACTTTTTTGGAAATCTTAGATTTCAAAACATTCAAAAGAATGGAAATTCCAAACCTTGTAGTTGGGTACTGCGATGGTACCCTCATGAGTTTCAAATTGCAAATCTTGTGTTCGAAGGCAACTGGTTAATTGCTCTTAATTTCCGTGATGTTGTTTTTGTTGTCTTTTTTTTTTAATTGTTCAAAGAAGTTAGATATAAAAAATTTCACAAATTCTAAGTTCCCATCTCTATAATCAGGTTTTGCCAGGGTACTCCTAGGAGTTGCAAGTTTTGCCTCCAAATGTGACTGCTCAAATCCTTGTAATTTTTGAGATATGACGTTTTTTGTGATTTTTTCAAAATTATTAACCTAATTTATGTTTTTTCTCCAAAATTTGAAACTCCTAACCCTGTAATTGGGAACTTTTAGGTTACTCTCAGATTTTGCGACTCCTGCATCCAAGTTTGACTGCTCAAATATTGTTAGTTTTCATGATATGACGTTTTAATGCTTTTCTCAAAAAATTTTCAGAAAACTTGATTTAATTTTTTCTTCAAAAAAATTGAAATTCATAACCCTGTAGTTGGGGGCTGTCAGAATGTTCTCAGGGGTTGCGAATCGTGCCTGCAAATAAGACTGCTCAAATTTTTGTAATTTTCGAGATGTGACGTTTTTTCTGGTTATTTTTTCAAAAATTATCAAAAAAACTTGGTTTAATTTTTTTTAATTCAAAATTTTGAAAATCCCAACCCTGTAGTTGGGGGCTGTCAGAGTTTTCTCAGGGGATACGAATCATCCTTCAAAAATGACTGCTCAGTTTCTTGTTGTTTTTTAGGTATGACGTTTTTGTGATTTGTTAGGTATACGTTTTTGTGACTGAAATTTAATTTTATTTGGGGGCTGTCAAATTTTTGTCGTTTTCGAAATATGTCGGTTTATAATGTTTTTTTTTCAAAAAAAACTTTCAGACAACCCAAATTTGAAGTTTCAAAGTATGAAATTCCAAACGCTGTAGTTGGGTTTTGTGAGAGTACTCTCAGGAGCTGCAAATCATGCGTCCAATTTTCTTTGCTCAATTGCTTTTTTTTCTGAGATGTGACGTTCTTTGTCATTTTAAAGAAATCAAAGATTTTAGATATTATACACTTCACAAAATTTAATGGTTTTTCAAAATTTAAGTATAAAAACTTGAATGAAAAATTTTTACAAAATTTGAAATTACCAACCCTGTAGTTGGGTGTTGTCAGAGTTCACTCAAAGGATGCAGATCTTATTTTCAATATATGCGGTTTTTTATGAGTTGTTAAAATTTCGAAGCACCGGAGGTGCGTTACCCGCTAGTTCATTTTAATTGAATGGCAATTGATTCTTTTCAAAACATGACTTTTTGCTAATTTCGTTTTCGATCCTTCGCTTACGAGTTTTTTCGCCCATTCGGTCCTTGGCGCTTGAGAATAGCCCCCGTCACCGAGCCTACTGAGTTTCTAAACAAAGCCTTAGACCCAGTTTTAGACTCAGAATTCGCTTGAAATAGTTTGAGCGAGCCTTATATAATTTTTTTTTCAACTGGTCAAATAAAAAGGTGGCGCATCTCATGCTTGAGGGACCGAGTGCTTGAAATTAATTTTAGCTTATTTTCAGCCAATCAGAATTGAGTATTCAAAATCTCAAAGTAAATCGCGAAAATCTCAAAGTAAGAAAATAAATCCAGGCCATTAGTGCTAATATTGACCGATTAGATAATAAGCAGATGAGTTTTCAAGACTGAAAAATTCTTTTGAACTTGAACTCATAAATCATGATGTTTATCTGAATAGTATTACGGTTGTAACCCGCGATTTGTAAAATTTTCGATTATTTTTCACTGATTTAATACATTTTCTGTTAATATTGACTTCGATTTTGTGAGAAAGGCATTAAGCCAATAGGAACGCTTAGCTATTTTGATTGGTTGAAATTTTTCAAGCATTCGGTCCCTCCAGCATGAGAACCTTCCCCAAATAAAAAGCTACACCTGTTTTTTTCAGGTTGTGTATTTGAAGTTGAGTCTCCGTATTTAACGCCATGGAACTCCATTTAGAATTCAATCTGCTCCTGAATAAATCAATTTATTTATTAAAGCGTGCTAATTACTTCGAAAAATAAACAAATAACCAGTGTGCAGAAGCTTAGCGTTCGTTTTTTGGTGTATTTTGTTTTTCGTGTTCATTCGATTTTTGTTACACAATTTGATCAACAATAAAATAGGATGGCCTTTTTAAAATCAGGTTCACTGAAATCTTATATGTCTTGAAGAATGAGTATGTCAAGCTTAGAGGAGCCAAGTTCATCCGCATTATCAGACAAAACTGAAAGTTCTGCTGAAAAGAAATGTTCGAATTGTGCAATTTCAATCAGTTCAGATCAAGTTCTGAATTGTTCAACTTGCGTATCTTCGAGCGAGAAAAGTAATTCATTTTGCGATGCTTGTATCGGCGCGCATACTCGGCGAGAACATAAAATCCTGGATCATAGCGGTTATGAAATATCAGTATGCGACGAACATAAGATGATAAATGATCTGTTTTGCTCGCAGTGTTCGCAAGTTTTGTGCAGCAAGTGTATTCTGAATCACAGGCAAAGATGACTTTTTAAGTAATTGATTTTTATTGCAACCTAGACTGGATAAGTTACCCATACGGCGAGCGCGATATTTTGAGGTGGATAAATTTTCATTTGAAGAAACTGCCCTTATACAATAGACAACAGCATATAACTAGTGATGCAATTTAAAAAATGCTTTTACTTTGGAGCATAACTAAACAAAAAGCCACATTCAGTATGTTTGCGTAAGTTTTGTCTCAAGTTTCAATCGTATAATGATGCAGCGTTGTGATGTTCAGTGTATATGCTAGAAGTAAGTAAAAAATTTGCGTGGGATAGTGATTGCTGATTTCAAAAAATGTGAGCCTTTGTTTCCGTTTTGTTTATTTTTATTACGGTTTTTTTCTTCTGAATTGTATAAAAAGTCGTTTTTGAATAAACAATAGAGGACACGATTTTCTTGCTGTGTCGGAGAAACGAGTCGAATTCAGAAAACAAATTTTCGAGTATATTTCAAAATTTGATAATCTGAGCAAAGACATGAAATTCCAGGAAATGTTGGAAAAAGACGCGGCAAAAACGAAGCAAGCGTATACACCAGATGAAATAGTTGATGTTATCGTTGCAAATTTTGTGAAATTGCTTCGGATTGTGGCTTTTTCGGACACGGAGAAACCGAAACTTGAGAAACTGGCGAAAGTTATAGATGAAAAAAGTAATTGGGCGGCTCGAGAACTTCAGAAGCATGAACAGTTAGTGAACGAAACTGACTCATTGGTAATTTCAATGCGTGAAACTTTACTAAGTTCTGATAGCGTTTTGGTGAAAAAATTTTGCGGTAATGAAGAAAACTTGAACCATTGTTTGGATCAGCAAAATGCCGCTTTGACTAAGCATGTTTTACTGAAGCCGTTCCAGTTTGAGAACAATGATCTAGAAAGCTTGATAAAAAAGGTTTTTGATTCTTACTTGAGATCAATAAAATGGCCCGAAATGGTGTACATGTCCTATGAAGAAACAACTGTTCAGCAATGTAAAGTATATCCACATATTAGTCTAGTAGATATCGAGAGTTCTAGTGTGTTACACGTCCTGCAAGAAGGCTACCTCGGACTAGCCACTGTTAAAGAAGATAAAATATTTTTTTCTGTCTTACCGTGTTATTTGCGTCAGAGGAATTGCACAGTCTGTGCCCTGGAAGGAACCTTAATTGATTTGAGGAAAAGCTCAATAGTGGGAAGATATTGTTATTTCTGCAAAGAAGAAGAATCTGGTAGACGAATTAAAATATATGACGAAGACGATGTATTATTCATTACAATTTCGGGTGAGTTCTTGAAAGTTCTGCCGTTTGTAAATTTTTCCAGTGAACCACTGGCTGGATATTTGGCACTTTTGTATGAGAAGAAAATAGATATCGTTCATGCATTCGACCCAACTTATGTAAATGACGAAGCAACCTCTGTTACATCGGAACCCTTCCCGGTTCTTATTCCCTCTAACTGTCTGTTCTTCTTCAATAATCCAGAGCCAAATTGTCTAATTTGGGATCCAGAACTCAAAGTCATCCGACCATTTTTGGAAATTGTTGGCTATGAAAATATTCCTTGTGAAGAAAAACCATTTCTACTGACTTGTAGTAAAGTTGGGAGTGTTCGAGTATAGAACTAAAATGATGTAATGGTTAAGTTTCAGAACAAGGATTATATATACTTTTTTCATTTACTTTTTGCACAAATACTTATGCCTTTTCTCGCCAGCACACTTTCAGAAAAGTTTTTGTTTTTTTATTTCAAAAATTGTGGTTTGGTGATATCATGGTTTTTTCAGGGTTTGAGAACCTGGCCTCCACATATGACTGCTCAAATCTGTTAATTTTCCAAAGATGAAGTTTACTAAGGTTTTTTCTCAATATTAAAAAAAACTTGGACCGTTAAGTATTTCAAATTTGAAATTCTCAAATCTATGTTTTCACTCAGCCAGGGTACTCTCAGGGATTTTTTAATTTTATCCTCTAATAAAAATCGCTGATAGGTATTTAGTTTCCGAGATATGACGATTTAAATTATTGTTTCAAAAGTTTTCTATAAAATTAAGAATAATTTCCAAAATGAGTCTGGTTGATGTGTATTCAATAATTCCGCTAGATTAAACTATTGATGGCATTAAATGATATATTTAGGGGCTGAATAACTCAAACAAGTATCTCCAGTCAGAAGTTAATGATTATACAAAGAAAAACTATTGATTTGAGAGTTTTTTTTTCCTTGCCAGACTTTTGAGAACTAGACTGTTTTCTCGTTAACAAATTTTCTGTCAAATCTGTCAAAAAAATCGAACTTGCTCTGTTCTGAAACCTGAAATAATACGACACCCGGTTTTTCAATGTTGCGTTATGGTGTAATGATAGGATAGTCTAAGTTACAAGTATTTAGAAATTTCGCTTAGATCTTGGATGAAACTTTTCAAAAAGTTGAAATTAAATTGCTGAAATGTGTTTTTTTTTCTAATTATATTGCATTTTTAATGTATCTTTTATTTGCATGAAAAGAGGTGTTGGCGAATTAAAGCGATAAGATGATAGAGCTGCCGCACTTGAAATGTTTTTGTTAGTTTTACACACTTCTTTGTCAATGAAGTTATGTATTGTAAAACAAAAATATTAAATCTATGAATTGAAAAGATTGAACACTCCAACATCAGGATGTGAAGATAATTGCTGCTACATTCCAATCCAGTGATTCAATCACCATTTTGAAGAAGAATGGATTCGCTCAACTGGCGAGTGCGAATCATGGCTTACAACGCGTGGACTCGTTATTCATCAATGGTCAGAACATTCTCTATGCGTGGAATTTTCGAAGAAAAATTTGCGTGGCTTTTCGAGAGAGTTTTGATTTAAACTGGATTGCATTCAAGGTTTTGAGAATTGAGCTGGAAAGTGTTCCAGAGAACTCAGATTGGGATCGAATCGAGCAGAGTGGTTCGAATGCTTACATATTCGTAAAGGGGGTTACTCTACCCTGGATTCTTCAAATGTAAATATCAATGTGTCAATGAAATTATATCAGGTGTGAGTTTGGAAGACTTTCTTGGCGAATTACCCTTGTATGTACATGAAATGGTTGGCTAAAACCATCACACCAATTTTTTAGAATAATGTTTTTGCTTAACAATCTAATTTACGAAGCTAGGATTTCATTTTGCAGTCTTAAAACACAATTGCTTATTGAAAAAGTACACTTAATGGGATTACACTAAAGAAAGAAAGTTTTTTCCTGTAAATAGCGTTGAGTAAATGAAAGCTTTTATTTAACATTCGGATACATAACATTATCTTGTGTAAATAATTCGCTAAGTGCTTGTATTTTAATCGATTCATATCATAGTAGCTTAATGTATTACCATTCTTCAGGCTATTCTTTCTCACTACTAAATCGATTTGATCCGGTAAACTTTCCCTCTCTCGTATTGAAAGTCTGCTGTTTGGTGAGTTTATCTGGTGCTGTTTGCGCAGCAGATTGTTTATTCAGTGTTCAATCATAATTTTGATTGATATGTTTCCCGATTTCATCATCAACAGTTTCCCTGTTGGCCTTCATTTAGATTACAGTTTTGGTGATAGAAATGTAAAAAGTTTGTAAATATTTTTTTTATGAATAAAAATTTTGAAATATAATTTTTTTGGATTCAGAATGTTTTATACTCAAAATGAGGAAATTCCAACTATGTTGTTGATTGTGGCTTGCAGTTGTGTACACTTCGTTGAGAGCCTGGATAAACGTTTTGTTGTTCCACCCTCCCGAAGGGAACTTCGGTAGGGAACTTCGGTTTCGGATCGTTTTTTTTAGCCAATTTTGACTACCACAAGGAGATTGTGGCATCATATTTAGGCTCTTTTGGTCGTATTTCAGATTCTAAAAAGGAAGTTTGAAAAAGTTAGCTCAGTGTGGCGAAAAACTGGGCTGAAAAGTTTTGGATTTTCAGATTAAATTATACAAAAGTCGATGAGAGGCTTCATTGTAGTGTTTAAGTGTTAGCGTCGTTTTAACCATGTTATATTCTTTTTCTTAAAGTTTTCCATTTAAATCAGTCGCTCTTTATTTTAGAAGAAAAAATAGCCTAAGTTACGAAAAAAATGAAAGAAAAAGGTGATTTTTTCGATTTTCTTTTAACTTCTTCCTCTTTGGAGTTTTTCTTGAATCAGCGTAGTCGGAACATTCTGTGCTACATGCACAGCAAACGGCTATCGTTGTTTTTTTTTGTTTGGAACTCTAAACTATATGTCACCCAACAATACAGCAGCAGCTACTGAGCTTCTTTTCCAATTTCGTTTGAATTCTGTTTTAATTGTACACTACTATTTGAAACATAGAGAAAATAAAACATTGTGATTCTTCTGAAAAATAACATTCTTAAATTTCTTATAATAACGTAACGCATCTGAAAATCACTGAGCAGACGTCTGAAAACAGGAATAAGTCGTCTAATAGTCTCCCAGACTGGGTTATTTTAGGATGTTTATTTATAAATTTTATTTGATGAATGTGGACCGATACTAAAAAAATTTCTGATGATTCTTATTATCAATAAAATATTGCATTGAAGACGTTAGAAACTGAAAAAAATGAAGCATTCCTGCAGTTGTACTGTGCATTGTAAAAAAGAGATGTTGAAATCAAATCAGCCTGTGTTTTAGCTTCTATTTTAACCTCTGGTTTGACCCTTCAGGTTGATTTAGAACTTAAATCTTCCGAGTTTACACAACTAGCCTTCCGTGTATAGAACTTGCACACCGTGGACGCGCGTTCGAACCCTGTAATGGGAATTTGAGTCTAGCATTTTCGCATTCAGTCATAATTGCATTCAGTCATAATGTATCAATGACAAATTTTCTTATGTTTTTTTTTTTTCATTTCCGACTTAAAGAGCCTTTGGAGAAATTTTTATTTTTACTTTCATTTGGAGCTCTTAAAAATGGCGTATGTTTCCGAAACCTTGGGTATGATTTCAACCCCTCCCTCCTGAAAAAAGTTCGAAGTGGTCGATATGCTAGGTGGACTCTTTTTCCTTTTCCCCCCCACCTCACACGAGCTTCCATATATTAGTGTAACGAGTGGTTTTACGAGGTTGAGTGTGAAGACCAAATATGTTTGCCGTGGCCTTATTAGTCTGTATCTAAATTTTTATAACAATCGGACAATGTGGTCAACAAATTTACATGAAAAAATTTGCAGGTGGGGGGAAAAGGAAAAAGAGCCGCTAGGTGGAATGTGGTATCCATAGAGAAGTGGATGTTTGTTCTCGACAATTAAGTAGAGCGAAGTATTTGTTTCCATTCAAAGAAGTATTTGTTTCCATTCAAAGACATTTCATTTTAAAAATTTATTCAGCCGAACTTTTCAGATTCAGAAATGTTATTCTTTGTATCTACAGTATTGATGCCAACATAGGTTATGTACAAGCACACGTGCAATATGTCATTAATGGCTAGTTATATTAGTTATAATCTCGAACTTTACTTAAGGTCTAAAATAAATTAACATGCACTCGTGTTTCGTCATTTTTGTCTGCAAACTGCACATGATAATACCTTTATATTGAAAATTGAGCAATCAAAACAAACGAAAACCGAGCGAATTTGTGTCAAATAAATAGTGTGTATTTGTTTAATGAGGACCAAAACATTCAATGCTCAGTTCAGTGAAACATTGGCAGTGGTGTTTTAAAATGGTCGAACATCGCGAAAAGCACCTATGGTATATCTTGACAGTTTCGTTCGCGTTATTTGGATTTTATTGGGCTGTTGTGAATAATTCGAGTGCTGGAAGATATCTGTATTTTGGAACAAAATCCAGGTCTCTTTTCCAGTTTATTTCTATCCTCTGAGAACAAAAATTTGAATTAAACTTAATTTTTAGACATTCTCAAACTAATTTTTTCAAAATTGACCTGAAAAATTTTAATTTCATGAAATTTTTGGGCTCTTTTTCCTTTTCCCCCCACCTCGTATGAGCATCAATTTTATGATGTAATGAGTGGTTTTAGAAGGTTAATTATGAAGACCAATTATGTTTGTCATGGCCCGATTAGTCCGCATGCCAATTTTCTTGTTAATCGGTTGGTGGGAACAGTAATTTTACTTGTAAAAAATTGCAGGTGGGGGGGGGGGGGGAGGAGGAAAAAGAGCCAATTTTTGTGACTTTGAAAGTTTAGTACAACAATAAAAAGGCTTGAATTTTTCAAAATAGAAAAAAAACTTGAAAAGAATCAAATTTAGATACTTCAACATATCCGGAGCTGGAAGTTTGGCCGAAGTTTTAAAAGCAAATGTTCCGGAGAATTTTGAACCGATACACGTTAACGTATTGACCAGACACGGCTCAAGAAATCCAACTGATTCATATTTCAAGAAATTTGAAGTTCTGCAGAAGTATTTAGAAGACAATGATGAAAGTGGGAAGACGTTGGCGCTGTTCCAGCCCTTTTTCGACAATTTAAAGGGAGCGATACCCGGATATCTAGCCTATCAGGTAGTTTTGATCTACTTGGTTACGAGCAGGAAGGCGTTCGGTCTTTTCAATACCCCCTCACTACTTACAAAGTTTCTAGTTTCAATGTACTTTAATATGCTTTTATGGCTAAATTGTTTTTTTTTGCAAATGTTATGTTTTTTTTTGTTCCTTTGGCTATGAGTGGACAAACCTGAGAGAAAGCCTAGAAAATAAGTAAAATTGATTGTAAGAGTTGGATACGTATATTTGACAACACTTTTTTGTATAAACAAAAATTTTAAAAAATTTTTTGCAGAAGTTATTACGATTTTTTTGTTTGAAGAAGGGGCTGAGAGAAGGTTCAAAAACTAATATTCCTCGAGTAAAACTAAATTTTTACGCTTTTTTGAGTATTGTAAGTCTGCTCTCTTGCTTTATTTGCTCGAAATTAGACCAGAAAACCAAATTTTAATTATGTTTTTCTCTTCACAGCGGCGGATGTTTCGGAAATTTTTAAAAGGATTCAAATCATGGCTGAAAACGCTTTGATGTGATATATCACTCGACCACTTCCGATGATGATTTGGGTACCGATGATTATTTTGCGCGGATAACAAAAAACTAGAAAAAAAACTAAAGACCTTAAGGTTCAGTGGTCGGAACAACAAGTTCATCAGTTGACTACCTAAAGCGCATCTGACTCTCTTGTATTCCACACCCGCAATTCTGGTATTTTTCTCTCTGTGTGTGATGCAGTTTTGGGATAAAAAAGTTGCTGCTCTCTGGTTTCAATTTTTCATCTTTTTGTCAATCAGTTTTTACTTTCTCATACGTTACTGTTGTTCCTGATTGATAGATTTTTTTTCGTAAGTTCTGATTGCATCAAGGAGTGTGAAATTTAAAAAGTTGTTTCCGAGTTTTACGAAGTTTGTTCGGCTCTTTTTCAGTTTCTCCCCCCCCCCCCCCCCTCCCCCCATTTTCGATTTTTTTCTGAAATTCAATATATGAAAGTCTTTTGAAAATAATTTTTTTTCGTGTTATAAATTGCATCAAAACGTGGGCTCTTTTCCAGGTTCCCCCTTTCAAAATACCAAGTTTTATGTCTGTTTTACGTCTTATTACGGCTAAATGCGTGATGTTACGCTGTAAAGTATGAAGAACAAATCTCTTCAGAATTGTTGATTTGTTCACCACGCTAAATTTCATTGCATTATGACAACGTTAAATAGACTTTTCAGAATTGAATTTGAAAGGGGGAGCTGGAAAAGAGCCAAAACGTGTCAGCGTGAACAGGTGAACAAATTTCTACAACATTTCTAACATACAAATTGCCGTGTGAACATTTTTTGAACGGCTTTGTTTTGTAATTTTACGATGGGGATGGGAAACTGGTAAAGAGCTGTTTGTTCTTTTAAGCCACTATTTTTGGGGATTTTTCCAGTTTCACAGCCCCTTTGTTTTTTTAAATGTCATTATGGCTAAATGCGTGATGCTTCACTATAAATTATGGAAGACAAATATATTCACAATAGTTAATTTGATCACCATGCCAAGTTGATTTACACAATGAAAGCTCTGAAGTAGTTTAATAAAGTTGAAACTCAATTGTGGGGAAAACATAAAAGACTAATTTTTTTTTCACTGTTTTATTGCATTTTGATCATCAAACTTTACTGAAATTGAATTTTCTTCATCTAAAACGAAGTTCAGGAAAAAGGGAGCTGAAAACAGACAGTTTAGCAAAATACGCGGATCTTTTGAACTTCCCCTCTCCCCTCAAAACATTGCAAAATTCTGAGCTTAAGACGTTTACATAAAATCATACTTTTGTGCGTGCAAAAGGAGCCTGAAGATACTTTTCTGACTGATTAGGCGAATTTTAGCTGTTTCTAATTTTTCACCATGCGAAGCTTTTGAAGTATGACAACGTTGAAATAGTCTTTTAAATTAGAAGTTCAAATATGGGGGAGTGGAGACAATCCCAAAATGTGTAGGCCACCAAAGCAAACTCCACTATCGAACAAAAAGTGAATAAGTCACTAAAAACGTGAATTAAGTTTTGTTTCAGAAATTGTCTTTAATTTTCTGAAATCTCAGCGCAATAAGGACAATTACACATTGATCCAGTTTCCTCTAAATCGGATAACTTTACGAGGAAAGTATAAATCATAAATGGTAATTGAATTTCAACGGGCGTATATGTGGTATGTTTTTTTGGGAAGTTGTAAAATGTTAAAATTTTCCAATGAACTTGTTTTCGGTTTCCTTGATCTTCTACATTTTTTCTACTGCCAGGCTATAACTTCATATTTTAATCCGCTCTGATCCTTTTTCCTATGCTGATCAGGTATAAATCAAAGTTAAGACATGAATCACAGTTTTGAAAAAAAAGATTAATTAAATGTGCAATACATAAGCAACGCTTGTGTTACAAGATTGGTCCTTTTTTTCCAGTCTCTCCGAATTTTCCCCCGTTTGTTTTTTTTTGGTTCCACTATCCTAAATTTGCTTGGAAATTACCATAATTGCTCGTTTATTTTCCAGAAGACTATATCTTTGATGCTGAGATCTTTAGCAGTCGTGGTCGAGTGGGTTAGGCACAAGTCTCTCAACACGAGGGTCATGCGTTTGAATCCCACTTCGGTCACGGTTGAAGGGGTCCCAGTGTCATCCGCCTCCTCAAGGTGGGACCGGCTGCGGCGGAATGGATGACATCACTCTCCTCCACGGTTGGTCCTGTTTGAGCAGGACCGAGGGCCAATAAAAAATGCTGAGATCGTTACAATTGGTATTTTGCAACAAGCTAATTGATCATATCAATTCTTTATAAGCCTTAATGTTATCACTAAATATTTGATATTGACAGTCCAACAAAATGTATAGTTGATCTAGTGTCTTTTCTTGTTTATTTGCGGTTTCAATAGGCTTTAGCAATGTAACTGCTTTAACAAGACTGCTCCCGTATCAGAGCAAAACCCTGAAGGTTTTGACTGCTCTTCAATTAAATAGATTTTGTAAAAGATTTTTTGATAAACTGCAATTTCTGGATTCTCAATGTCATTTGTTTACTTATGCGAGCTAGAAAGCGTTATTTTATATTACGAATCCCTTTTGTTTTTGATCCAACTCGCAAATAAAATGGGTATCACTTTACTTGCTCTGTATTGTTTTTTCGTTTTTTTTTCAAGGCCTTTTTTCGTATTTTAGAAATGGTTTTTGCTGTTCTTATTTTGTTTGCAAAGTATTTTTGAGCTAGGTATAAAAATTCAGACAAGTTATATTTATTTTGCCCCATCATCGTGGTATTTTCATTCTTGTTCAGCCTTTAATTCAGGTAAAATTATGATAACGTGGGGAACATTTTTTCGATTTTTTTAATTTCAGGGACGACTGGATTTGATTGGAATTGGCGAGAGAGTCTGTTCTTATTGGCCCAATATGTGCAACGTGCCATTCGACAAAATATATGTTGATGCCACCTACAAAGGAAAGGGATCTTTTTCTATTTAAGAAGCAAAACAACTGCAAAAACACTGATTTTTTCTCAAGATAAGACTTCACCATAGAATTGATGTGTGTTTGTGTTAGAAAGGAGTGATTACAAAAAACGATTTTAAGAACTTGTTTAAATGATATAAATGCGCCGTCTTTCTTTTCAATATGATAACAAATCATCGAATGGAGTCTGTCAATTTGAACAATCAGTTATTTATTTATGATTAATATAAGTTTTTGAAAAGATCCCTGGCATCTCAGAACGTGCATATGAAAGCGCTTTCTGGTATGTTTACGGACTCCTCAATCTGACCGATTCGTCTCAATTCAACTTCGCTTTCGATGGACCTCAAGATGCGACTGCAGATTCAGTTAAAGACGGGATTGAACAATTGCAGCAGAAATTGATATTTGATATCAATCCGCCTGAAAACGACACGGTGCTGAGATTCTATGATGCTTGTGAAAAGTTAGTCTTTTCGCTATTTGCTGCTGAAGTTTTGGAAGTAGTTAATAAATACATGTTTGGCAAAACAGACATAATGAAAATATGCTAGTGGACAAAATAGTGGACAACTTTTACTTCGATTTTCAGCAAAATTTTTACGTTGACCAAGAGCAAACGATCAAAGCTACCCTCTTTTAAATGATCAATATTTTTGCACATGAAGAACTTTTTTTACTCCGCTTATTCGAGAAAGAGTTCACTACGATGCAAAAGTTAGTGCAGATGAGGAAATCTGGCCATTTCAGACCCGGATTACATATCATTAAATATGATGAATTGTCTGAACGCGTCTGAGTGGTTCGCGAGACTCATCATCTCTAATTGAAAAAAAAACTAAAAGATTTTTCAGTATTCACACTTGAAGTATGTTGTAATAAAGCTGAAGAAACCCTGTTTTCTTCTGTGACTAATCTGGGTCGAAATTGTGAACATGAAATTTTCAAAAAAATTAAGATTCGAAAAGGAATTTTTAAATCCATATATATTGTGCCCTTTAGCTAAATAATTATGTGATAAATATTTGAAACTGTACTTTAAAAATGTAATTTTTACAGATATGTAGTATGTATAGATGACAACTGTAAATTGTTTAGATATGTAGTAAGTGTAGATGACAACGATACTGCCATGTATCAAGTGACAGACTTCGAAAACACCACCACATTCCAATCTAGTCTACAGCTGTTGTCGGACAGTTTCTGTGCAGAAGGCAGGCTGGCATGTCTAGAATTCAATTTCATTAACTGAATGAGCTTTCAACGGATTATGAGTTTTTAGTAAGGCACCTAATTGTCGTTTTTTTGTTGCGCAAGCTGGCCGCACTTTTATTTCTGCTTAAATAGCTAATGTAATGTTTTGATGCAGAATATAATTTCAAAATTTCGGGCTGAAATTTTGGTCAAAAAGCTGTAAAGAGGTCTTAAAAAACTTTATAGATTATTCTAAAAAATTTAGAACAGTTAAATTTGAGAAATTTGAAAAAAATAAAAATTTGAAAAAATTAAAAATTTGAAAAATTGAGATCCAAAAAATATTTTTCAAATTCACATATATAACTTTTTCGCAAAATAAATATGATAATCAATTCAAATTCTAAATTAAAAAACTGAATTATAGTTTTTTTTTAAAAAAAAAATCACAATAAATTAGCTGAATAACTTGCCATCCTGTCTACTCTCAGGTGGATTGTGTTCGATGAACGAAACAATTCTGAGCAATATTTACACCGCTTGTTCACATGCACAGATGATGTTCAATGACTATGCCCCTTGTGAATACATTCCACAGGAAGTATTGGAGACCTTCGAATATTGCAGGTATTTTATTTTTGGGGATTTCCTTCTAGCCTTCTACCTTCTAGCCTATTTTTCCTTTTTCGCACTAGGAGTAGGTTGCTAACAATATCCTTTTTCAAACTCCTACTCGGGTTTTCAAAAGATCGTTGTGTTTTTGATATGCCTCATCAGGAAAAGTGATCTTTTCAAATTGAAGAAAAAATGTATTTGTAACTTTTTGGGAAAAAAATAGTTGCTACTTATTTTTTCAACCAAGCAAATGAACAATTGATTAAGATGCAGGGTTGAAATTTTGACAAGTTTTGGCAAAACTTGACACGGCGCCAAAAAACGGACAGTTTTTTGACGACTTAGACGTTTTAATGGCTTCGACAATTTTGACACCAACTTAGTCTATAAATCTATTTCTTCCAAGGCTTTTCAGGGCTTCTGTTTGTTTCTTTACATATATTGGTAATGTAATACAGTCACGGGGCATAGAAGCTGCAACTTTTTGATGCCAACGAGAAAATGAACGAACTTCTTCAAGTGTTGTTCGTTCTTTTTCTGCAACTATTTAAGATAAAGGATTCAAATTTTGACAAAAGGTAGTTGAAAATATTTGAAAGGGCTTAATCGGGCCAAAAATTGAAAAATTTTATTTCGAAGGCGTAAATTAGCCAGCTTATCATAACTAACTTTACAGGTGTTCTTGCTGTGTAAACAACCTCACAAACAATATAAGTAATTCAAATTAATGGGCTCAAATTAGTTTTGGAAAGCTGATGAGCTTGACTTACTCATTATGTTGCCTAAAATGACAAATAACAGAATTAACAGAGGTACGTGGTCCGGCGTAAGAAAACGGCTATAATTTTAAGACTAACTTCGCGCTGATGCAGTCAACAAAAGAACCATTTCAGCAAATATTTTGCAAAATACTGCTCCAATCTAAGCACAGGCTTCTCATTAGCAGGTGTGTTCTGTGTAAGTTTTCTCCAATTTTCTGGTATAAGCTCCAAAGAACTTTAAGTTTATGTGTCATAATAACAGATATGACCATTTCTCGAGGCCGGATCAACTAACTCTGTTAATTCTGTTATTTGTCATTTTTAGGCAACATAATGAGTAAGTCAAGCTCATCAGCTTTCCAAAACTAATTTGAGCCCATTAATTTGAATTACTTATAATGTTTGTGAGGTTGTTTACACAGCAAGAACACCTGTTAAGTTAGTTATGATAAGCTGGCTAATTTACGCATTCAAAACAAGATTTTTAAATTTGGCCCGGTGCAGCCATTTCAAACAATTTCATCTATCCTCTGTCAAAGTTTGAATCCTATATCTTAAATAGTTGCAGAGAAAACTAACAAAATGTGAAGAAAAAGTTCGTTCATTTTCTCGTTGAAATCAAAACGGTGCAACTTCAATGTCCCGTGACCGAACATTCGTTTTGTAATTACACATCTAAATGAAATCAATTTTAACTGTTTGTCGTTAATTAGGTGGCTCGTTCGATCAAGTGAAACCTAACCGTTCCAAAAATGGCTGAAAAATCTAATTCGGTTCTACTTAACAATTAATCCCCCCCCCTTTTCAAAGAAATACGTCCTACTGACATGAGGGGTTCCCCTCAATAGGACATACCAGTCAAGGAATGGTTTCAATTTTAGTGATCTGAAGGTATACTACAAAAGCTATCGGGGCTACAATATCAGCTACACTTCGTCTTGTTACCTCACTCGTGTTATTACGCAAGACATTCAGAAAGCTGTCAAGCATGACATAATAAAGCGAAAAAAGGCAGATGAAAAGGAGTGTGAACAATTTGAAGAGACAGCTGTCAATCATGACGTCACAGTGAAGACTGGCGAAAATGAAGAAATTGGCGATGGAAGTGATCAAGTCTTCAGTCATATTGTGAGGGCGGCGCATGCAGAAACTGTTTTGCCCGTTTTGGGCATTATGGATGCTGTTTATACAGGTGAGTTTTTTACGAAGTTTTGATGAGAGCTGGTTGTGCCTGGAAAGTGCGAGAGGTCTCATTTTATGCACCATGCTCACTGGTATCGATTAACGCTGTTAACATTTTAGTTCTATTTAAATGTGATTTTCAAATTTTTTCTCAATCCAGAATCCTAAAACTTCATCTATGTCTGTAATAGCGGTGAACTTTTGTTTTCTGTTGTCAAAGGCCGGAATAGTTAAATAGTTTCTTCAATTCAAAATTTTTTGGCTGGTTTTTTAAAGATCTTTGGTAAAGTCTTTGAATAACTTTGAGATAAATGTTTTAGAGCCTCTGACTGCAGACACTTACTCAATCTATCGCAACTTTCATTCCTCACGTCTAGCTCCAATGGCCGCCAATATCATATTCACAGTGTACTATTCACCCGAAAGATCACAAAGCCGAAAGCCAGAAAACAGTTATTTTGACAATTATTTTGTAACCATTCTGCTTAATGAGCGCTTATTGTATTTGGACGGGCTGAACGATCCATTGAGGCCAAATAGCCCGGTACCGTATAAGAAATTTACGCAATTCCTGGATACATGCAGTATCGAAGAGTTCGAAAAGATGTGTGAAGAAACAGAGGAATTATGAAGGATCATGTTTAAATTATTTCTTCCATGTATTGTGATGGCTGACGAAAACTAGCGAGCTACAAAACCACTAAAAAAGAGTTTTATTTTTGATCTTTTCCTGAAATAGTTGTACATATTTAGTTTATTATTGGCTTCAATGTTTTTATAGTTTTCGTTCAATGTGTGAAAAAGTTAACAATTGGTTAAAATGTGCACAACGAGGGACCCTCAATAACGTAAAAATATAGCCGGGTGAACGTAATGCGAACACAAGATTGATGAAAGACGACGATTCGTAAGTTCTAGAAAGATATGATGCGAAGCGAAGCAAATCGTAAACTTGACGAATCGAATCCGTCGCCGAGAAGGAAAGGGCATTTGGTTGCTGTCCTCTGCTAAATCAATTTTAATCGCCTGACGCTTTCAAGTTTTGAAGTCATGAAAATCATCATCGGAGCTTTTCTTACTCAGATTCCGTGAAAATGAAAATTTTCAACCCTGAAGAAGCGTCGGTTTCTTGAAACATACGGTTATCGAAATTTTTAATGACATTTTTATCCATGCAAATGCTTGTGGTAGATTAGATTTTCAGTTTTTTTTTTACTGATTTTGCTTGCACACATGGGTTTTCGAACTTGTGTGCAATTGAACTTAGCTTGTATACTGTTCAAACATCATATGAAGATTTAATGGCTCTTGTTTTATCCGCTTCAGTATGGCGCATTCCTTGCTGAATGGTTATACTATTTGATAGTTTTTATTAAGACAGAAACGCAATTTCGCTCAGTCGCAAAGTCAATAACTCGTAATCTAGTGGACTAATCTAGAGTTGGTTCAATTCCTTTTGTTTTTTTTAGAACTTTTTCAGTCTATTTTATTCTATTTTAGTTTTCAGTTAAAGCTTCTACGGTTTCAAAAAAGGATTCGGTGTATATTGTATCGGTTTGGTTGCCTCATCTTAAACGCTTGCCTGTTAAAAAGATTTTCACGCTGAGGGGATTTTTTAAGCTTAGCTTTTGATGACATCATTTCTTTCGGCGCAGCTTTTGGTCGTTAACCCAGCTTTTGGTCGTTAGCCCAAAATTATAACAACATTTTGTGAAGGTTGTTATAATTTATAATTAAGCCCGTCAACTCTCCTTCTTGAGTTGTTTTAAAATAATTTCATTTAAGACAAATGTTTATGTTAAAACTTGGTCGATGAAGTTATTTCTTAAAACAAATATTGTCAACTGATTTTTGTCCCTGTTTTTTTTTGTTGGACTAGCCCTTGTTTATGTTTGTAATGTATCGCAAGTAGCGCGAAGCTGGGCTTCGCCTCTATGTTGTATTATCTGGGCTTTTGCATTTTGGCATTTTCAAAGCTCCCTTTTGCTTTTCTTCTTGTGTTTGCGAAGTGTTTCTGGTTTTTTCTACTGTTTTTTAAGTTTTTTCTTCCGAAGTTGCTGGGTAATTGAGGTTTCAAAAGAGATTTTTGTTTTTCATAAACAAGTTTTTCAAAAGCTAATTATACAAGAGAAGCGTAGTGTATTATTACTGGTATATTTCATTTTAATCATAATTAGCCTTATTTAAGCATAAACAGTTTAATGACATATTTTGCTGCTTTCTTTTTGGCTAGTGTTAGTTAGCTCCTGTTTGAACAAATATGTATTGTGAAAATGAATGGTAATTGTTGTTTTATTTTTTTTGCGACGCTTTGGAAATTTTTTGCTTTTTTTTGCAGAAATTTCATTTTTGCAATAACTACGCTGCCGATTTCCTAAAAAAAACTAGTACAATTAAAACACTGGCTGCTCCTTTATCTGCTTGCATTTTTAGATAGTCTCTTTTCCTTTTACCTAACGTTCTACTGCCATCGAAGTTTCAGTTGGGGTATTTTTGACCTATTTATTTTTTTCTTCGTTGTTTCAAATTTTAAATGCAAAAAACTGAGATGAAGGTTTCAATCAAAAGAACAAATTACAAGAATTTCCCCTCCAAAAGTTATGGCCTCAAACAAGAACGTTGTTTGCTACTTAGGTTAGTTTTTGAAACTTTTGTCTACTCTCAAAAACCACACTGCCAAATTGGAGATGAAGGGTTTAACCGAAAAAGAAAATCAGTTATGCGAATCTTACCTGCGCGAGCGGCTATGCACTGCGTTTTGTAAAAATATGCCTTGCGTTTTAAAATTTCGTCACTATACTCGAAATGTACTAGCTAAACCTGATATTCAGGGTTCAATCTAAACAATCAGGGCACGGAAGTCTTCAATCTACAAATGAGGGCGTGGAAGTCAGAGGGGCTGTTTTCATTTAGGAACAGTCAAACTTTCGAATTTTTGATCGTGTTTTGGAATATTTTCAATTTTTTTTTCGAAAACAACCAAGCCAAATCTGAAATAAAGGCTTACTTAAAAGAGCGATTTGTAGTTTTTTCCCCCATTCGTTTAATTCACTATTAAGCTGAGAAACACTAGGTTTTAACGTTTCTTTTTGAGATTTTGAAATTTACGTGTTTCCGTATCAGTACAGTATAGGATCAAAAATATTAGAACACGTAGATTCAGCCTTAGCTGGGCCACTAGTGTACTTCCAAGTGACCCTGGCACAGATATGAGGACGTGCGAATCCGAATCAATAGGTTGGCTATTCAAATCCTGAACTTTAAAACTTAAGTCTAGTTTTTGCTGCATAACAGTGGCAATTTGATAGAATCTGTAGGACTACAAGTGATCGTGGAGCAGTTGTGAAAACGTGATACTCCTAATCTCAACTTTTTTTCTAGGTTTGTTTTAAATCTTTTCCTTATTTCATTTTGTTTTGCCTGCTGAGAGCTTTTTTTTGCATTTTCATCGCTTGTGTTTGCCAAGCGCAGCCTCGCCTCTGTGTTAGCTGATTGGAGTTGAGATTATAATTTTGATAGTTGGAATCCTAGGAAAAGCAAAAAAATGTCCCGCCATTTTCATGAAAAACTAAAAAACGCTTGAAACAAAATTGCAATAGTTGATTCCGAAGACTTAACAGATACGTAATTTTTCTTCAGGGAGTCTTATATTTAGGAACCCAAATATTATACTTCTATCGCCTTTAGTGATTTTGCTTGAGTTTTTTCTTAATTATGCAAACTTATCAGCTTGATCCGCATTAACTTTTGATGCTTTTTAAAGCTGGCGTTTCATTGTTTTACCAAATAAGAAACAGATTGTAGTGAAGTTTTTGATCTATCAAACTTTAAGATAAAAAATAATAAAAAAATAATTTGGGTGTGAGTTTTTCCCACTTAAAATGTGTCAAAATTTCATTTTTTAATGTCAAGTTCGAATATTTCGGCGTGAAAGGTGAATCAACACCCAATTGGCGAAAATGTTTTCTCTCTTGTTTGTTTTGCCGTTTTCAATCATTCTATTTTTAGTTCGTTGGGTTCTCTTTTGAAAAGTGAAAGAAGAAAGAACACTTCAGCTAAAAGTTCTCTATTCATCAAGACAGTAAAGTACAATAAAGATTATTTAAAATAGTCTAGGCAACTAATCGGAAAGCTTAAAGTAAAATACAATAAACAAATGATCAAAATGTAATTAAAGTAAGTTCAAAAAGATATTAAAAATCAGTTTTTGTTCGAATTTTTTTTCTGTTGCGTATAGTAGGGTTTTAATGTTGCCTCAAGCCGAAATTTTGAAGGATTTTTTGGAAGAAAAATACATATATTGGTTTTTACTAATTACCCTTGTAATCCGCAAGGTTATGTCAATCGGGTTCTAGACTTTTCTCCCTTAAATAACTTTGTTCACAGAATGAGCCGTTAGAAATTGTAAATTTAGTTACAATTCATAATCAATACAGTTTTCTCTGCCTCTCCGTCATTTTTGTTCTGGAGGTAATGAATACGCTTGAGACGACACACGTCCTGGGTTCGAATCTGACGGGACCTGTTTTTTTTTTCAAACGGGAAATATTTCGTTCCAAAAAAATGTCAACTTATTTTTTATCTTCTAATGTTTAGCCAGCCTAGATGCCAACTTTTAGATTTGTGTTTTTTGATGTGCGCAATTTAATTGTTATTGCTTTTAATGTTTGATTTGTTTCTGCTGTTTGTAAATTTAATAGCCTTTGACTTCGTACATATTTTTTTCAAATAAAAACGTTATTTCGCTTAAATGGTTTAGGTTAATGATTCATCGGCTTAGTGACTCAGTTGTGAGTCGTTTCAAGGGCAACATAGTTTTTATGCGTATTTCTGGAACGCACAAATGTTTGATTTAAATCGCTTCTTTGTCGGCTTAATGATTTCGTCTCAATTTTTGTCGGATTACTGATCGGGTATTTCAGTTTGCTGGTTTTTAAACACGCCCAAACTGAAAAAAAAATGTGAACTTTGAATAAAGTGTGCATTAAAATTTCAGTTTTTTCGGATGAGAGTTTTCTGATTTATTTTTAATCTAAAATTGCGTTGAATTAGTTATAGTTTCAATTTGTTGGTGTGTTATAGGATTAAGTTGTTTTATTTTAAATCGATTCAAGCTGATGCCATAGCGTATTGTGTTCAGATGTCAAAATTAAAGAATAAAAGTTATTATATTTCCAAAAGTTTTGTTTTCTTCTTTTTTGTGATTTTGACTTGACTGTTTGGACTAAGAATTTTTTTTGAGTTTGGCACGAGATTCACTAGTGCATTTTTTTCCGGCTGAACGTTTTGAAATAAAGCTGAACTTGCCTTTATTTGCCGTGTTTTTTTGGCTTTACGGGCCTTTTTGTCTTTTTTTATATTGTCATCTTTTTTGTTGTGATCCAGAACTCCTAACGTTGCGCAGCAAGTTCTTATTTCATAGTTTAGATTTAAGTGGGTTTTTATTACACGTTTTCTTCAGATTTTCTGCAAGTTTTTTTTCCTGGAAATTGTTTAAAACTCTAGCATTCGTTAGCAAATTGTTTGCGTTCGTTTTCATTTCTATCTATCTATACATTTTTAGTTGTCGTTTAACTTGACACATGTTTAAGAGTTCCCTATGTTTACATGTTTAAGCTTTTTCAACGTAGTATTTTTTGCATGTTTAACGAAAAACTTTTGCACGGAAGCTATATCGTATATTGCAATGCTTAAGAAGTTTCTTCTGGTACATGTTTAAGAGGTCCGTCCCAATTTTGATCTGTTAAAAGGCCTAAACCTTGCAAGGGTTGAAATTTTAGCTCAACTCGACGTTCAAAATCTGTTGGAGCGCGAATGCTTTAACTGTACATTTTCCCTGAATTCGCAACCTAAAACTATTAAAATTTTTGTTCCACAATTTGCTTTAATGGATTTGAATTTTCCAATCCTGTATTGAGGCACTGCCAGGGCATACTCAAAGGTTGCAAATCTGGACTCCAATTATGACTGCTCAAATCTTCGAGATATTGTTTTTTTATGATTTTTTCATTTAGTTGTCAAAAACTTAGATATAAAAAACTAACCGAACTTGAATTTCTCAACCGTATTAAGGCTTGCAGTCAGCGTCAGAGTATTGTTTTTTTTTAGTTTTCGAGATATTGCGCTCTTTATAATTTTTTCAATTTTTTAAAATAAAATTTGATATAAAAAAATTAACCGAACTTGAAATTCTCAAGACTTTAGTTGGGTGCTGTCTGGGTGCACTCAGAGTTTGCAAATCAGGCGTCTAGGTGTGACTGCTCAACTCTTTTGGTTTCCGAGATCTGGTGATTTTTATGATTTTTTTCTTGAATTTGGATTAATTAAAACCATAAAATTCTCAACCTTAATGGTAGGGATCTGTCATGGCTTATTCAGGGGGTAATATCAGGGTACAAATATGGCCTCTAAGTTTTATTGCACTAATTTTTTTTTATTTCCCAAATATGGCGTTTCTCATTATTTTTTCAATACTTTTTGAAAAAAAAACATAGGTTTAAAAACAACAAATATAAATAGAAAATCTCAACCCTATGGTGGGATGCTGTCAGGGTACAATATAGGGTAGCAATTTTTTCCTATGATTTTATCTACTCAAACCATTTTGGTTTTCTAGATATGGCGTTTTTTATGAAATAGAAACCCCTATTAGATGAGCCCAGTTTATGTTCACGATTGTATTAAATATCGCTGTTTTGGTACTTGTTTTCGGAAGCTATTTTTATGTTCAATGATTTATTTGAAACACCGTAGGTGCGAGTCTTGTGCTAGTCTTGGTTTATAGCAAAGTTTTGTTGTTCATTCTCACATCAAATTTTTCTTTTGAGACATGCAGATTGTTTGTTTGCAAGATTTTAAGCAAAGTTTTTGTTTTTGAGTACATATAGGAACTTTTGGATCTCGATTTTTTTTACCAAGATTTTTTTCTGAGCGTTTCCATCTATTCGCAATAAACGAGAGAAATTAATGGAATATGTTTTGCCCGATTCCTTCTCATGTCTTAAGTAAATGATTTTATTTTTTGTTAATCATTTAGTTCCTAACATGTAAATTTATTCCAGAAAAAAAAATTTATTGTTGGAAACTTGTACTCTCCGCTGTCGCAGCTGATTCTAAGCTTCTTTTGGAGGACTGGCTTTTCATTGGTCGGATCTGTCACTGGGATGGTTTGGCTTGGAGTTCAGTCAGTTCGTACTTCAGACATATGATCCCAATTTCCTGGAAATTGACCCGCAGGCAACTTCATCAGAAGTTTCTCTTAAGCATTTGATTCACTTAACATTGAGCACAATTTAACGTTTCAAATCATTGAACAATGGCATGGTAGTAGAATAGTTTGTATAACGATTTCTTTGCAACTATGCTTGTCAGTTTTTGAAAAAAAAGTTTTTGTCAAATCTGGATAGCTAAAATTTGCAATGAATAGAGGAGGAGTTTTTGAAGCTGCTATAGATGCAAACAGATTGGAGTCAGTTAGATTTTTGTTTTTGTGATTCGAAACTTCGTAGATTTCTTTGAAAATCTTTGATAACTTGTGATTCCTAAATTTAGGTTGGATGAATGAGGTGAAAAGTTCATTTGCAAACAAGATAAATTGTCGTTATCTGAACTTTAAAGGGTTCAAATTGCCTGCATTCGCATTTGATTGCACAGCTTTTTCTACTATTCAAAAGAATTTTTTTTTGAGTTGTTTGACGAAACGACTCAACAACTACTTAAGTTTTTTTGAGTTGTTTGACGAAACGAAATGTTCGAATCGACTGTTTTTCGAACCATTCGTTTTTTTTTCACTTCCATGTGCGCAGTTAAACTTCAATTCCATGCTTGAATTCCACTTGATTGGGGTTCTGACTTTGTCGTAGTTGTAGAATTGATTCATTGCTAGTTCTGTTATAATGCAACTGGCAATTCATGCGTTTGTTTTTTTTTTAGATTTGCAATGAATATGAAGTGCTAATTTCACTTGGAAAAATCAAATTCTGCCTGAAATATAGTTTTGGAATTACAAAATGGCATACTGTGAGTTGCCACCTTCGAATGGAACCTCGAAGTGTACTGTTGTTCACGTGCGCGATAAGGATTTGGGGGTTCCCTCTGCGAAAATGGCGGCATTCGCACGACAGCAAACTCTAGAAGAGCAAAAATACAACAAGGTTGGTATGTTGTAGTAATGATGGCAATTGTGATATAGTGGCTTAATGTCTGTTTTTTTTAAATAAATTAATAAATTGATTTTTTTCGGCAAAAATTTTTGTTCCGACCACTGAATGTGGGGAGGAACTTTGTGTTCGCGTGGGTTTTTACTTTCTTTCCCTCAAAATCAGCAATCAAATATTATAATCGGATTGTGTCAAGTAATATTTTATTTTATAATACTCCTGTAAAAATTGCTTTTCGAAATTTTTTTAGCGCCTCTTTGTAACTATTTTTTAGTCTGATGATTCTGGTCTGAAAATTTTGTGCTACTTGCACATCAACCGGTTAAAATTGTTACATTTTCGATTTTCTTAAGACTTGTTTTAATCTACGAGTGACGGTTCTCTGAAATGTGCCCGTTTTAATAAATAGATATTCAGCTGCAATTGAAGACTCTTTCCCATAATAGTAGCCCTATAGTAGTTAAATCACAATTGGCAGTTTTTTGTTTTGATCATTAATTTCCTAAAATTATTAAATTTTTGCCGCTTGTTTTATCAAACGATCAGCTATTCATAACAAATGGATTGCATTTTTTTTTGATATCTAACTGTGCTGATTTGAAATAACCGGACACATCGAACAACATTAGAAAAATCGAACGTGTTTTTCTCAAATGGATTCGAGATTAGACAAAAAATGAAGAAAACAGAAATTGCGTAAATTTTCGCCACAAATAAAAAGATGTAAATTATTTTTTGAAATTCGCAACCAAAATTTTACCCCAAAAATAGGTAATTTTGGGTATTTTTACTTAATCAAGAATTACGCTGAAACTACCGAGTTAATTTTGAGAAAGATCTATCAAATAAAATTATATAAGAAGCCTCTTAAACTGCCCAACGAAGTTCTAGAAGAGTAAAACTTCCATAAAATTGCGCAAAACGTTTGAAATTTGTTTTTAACAAATTTTTTGTTTCTTATGTAGTAAAATGACCATTTTTGGTTATCAACCAAAAATATATTCCCCTATACAGGTATTAGAGATTTTATCATTCTTCAACTTTGTTGGGCTGTATAAAAGGCTTTTATAACTTTTTCATGAATTGTTTCATCAATTAACTCGGTAGTTTCAGTGCAATTTTTGATTAATTACTAAAAAAGCCAAAATGACCCATTTTGTATTATATTAATTCTGGTGAAATTTTAAGCAATTATAATTATCTTAATTCTTTTGTCTTCAGCCCAATTTGAGGAAAACTCGTTTTAAGTTTCAAATTTTGTTCGTTTTGGATAATTTAAATCAACACTGTACATTAAAACAGGAAAAACAATCTGCTCTACGCCTCTTGTTTCGTTTAGAAAATTTTAACTTATTTATCGGTGATTGAAAAATCAAACATTCTTTGCATTTTTCATCGTCATCATTGAAAACTAAGAGGCACTATGAGTGCGTGCGTAGTCAAAAAGACTTTCGATTATTGCTGTTTTCTGTTTTGAAAGTATTTTGATCTAAGCGGTCTTTGATACGTAAAATCTATAGCTAATTGCAAAATTGAACAAAGTACAAAAATACATCAGCTGCAAAAAAAAACGTTGACCATTATTAGATATACGCGTACAATCAAAAAGTAAAATGCTGATTTGTTTTTTTTCTTTTTTTTTAATGCTTGCCAATAATATACCAGGTTTTAATATATGAAGTTTATACAAAGATCAATGTGTATATGTAGTCTGTGAAGCTTTTAATAAAGTTATTAACATACTCAGCTTAGTCAAACTCATCAATGTGTAAATTATCGTTACCAATCCGGCCAATTTATTTAGCACGGGCCATTAATTCTTTTGTGAGTCTGATTCGAACTTTCATCACTTCGAACTGATACAGCAAGACTGTTCTTGGGCGTGGGTAGTTTTTAAGTTTTTGGGTATCTAATTCTAGATGAATAATTCATCAACAACCAACGAAAGCATTTTTTCATCTTCAAATAAGTAAATTGTTGCGATAACGCAAAAATTAGTTCGGCTCAATTTTTGTCGAAGTATGTTGATTTCATACAAAATGCTAAATGTGCTTCAGAAATGTTTTGATTCTTGTGTTTTGGGATTAATTATATTTATTCGAGTTCTTTCATTTCAGCGAGATTGTTCCATCTGCCCAAAATATGTATAAATCATTCATTTTCATAAGCCTAAAACTTCACGTTTCTCCTAAATTGCTGAACATTTCTATACGTTTTGTGAAATTCAGCTAAATATTGCAGCCTACTATTAAAGTTTGCAAATTTGAGAAATCTGAGGTCAAAATTGGAAATCCGAAATGCCATAGATTAGGAAATATAATTTTATAAACAACTGTTTCAATTTTTGGAGAATTTGAAAAAGTTTTTGTTAAGTCTTTCAAGTTTGGATGTTTTGCAGCCCGATCCTGTGTATTTCGTTTGACAGGTGAAGCAAACGGCGTTTCCTATCAGAATGACTGATTGATTTTGCTTTTTTGTTCCGTAATGAAATAAACAATAGATTCTTCAAATTTGGGAACCTGAAAAAGTTTCCGTTAGTTATTTAGCTTAGAAATTGGAAAGTTTTTTTATATGCTTCCGATCTTTGTTTTAAATTTGCCATTATGAAGTTCAAAGATAATTTAAAAGATCTAGTGTTTAGTAGTTGAAATGAAACAAAAAAAATTGTTCGTTTTTCAGATTAATTTATTGTGTAACAGATTTTTTAATGGATTTAAGTAGAATCTGCGTTTTCCATTTGTTATCAGAACATAGCATGAGGACGACTGTTTTTTTGTTAGTATAGCAATGAAGTAAGAAGAATCTGAAACCTTAAGTTTTGATAGACTTTTTTAAATAAGTTTAAAAAAGAAAGCATTGTTGGATGCTCTCAGACTGTGTTTTAGGGTTGAACTTTATATAGCTGTTTTATATGAATGGCAGGAATTTTTTTCTCTAAGTTTTAAACATCTTAGAAAGCGTTTTCTCGGCCTCACTATCTGTTTGATGCTCCGTAATTGCGATTCGTTCGCTAATGATCTTTGTGTCTCTTATCAAAAGAGCCACTTTTCAAAATTTTCTCAGAAAATGGGTAAATAACTCCATAGGTTATTTTTTGTGATACTCACCGGTATTTCACGTTGGCAAAATCTGAAATTTCATTAACAAGAGATTTCAATCCCCAATTTCTACTTGCAATTTCATAAATATAACATCAAGTTTTGCTTTTACTTGAGCTGAGCTATCTTAGATTTGCTTAGATTGGAACAATTGTTCGATGGCAATCAATTGATCAATCTACCTTTTTGATTAGGTTATTATCGATTACGAGATTATCAGGATTACTCAAGCTGGCTTGAAACAAGCGAACTCAAAAGCATTTTTTTAAAAGTAGACAGTGGCAAAGATCTGATGGCCGCTTCTATGGTATTCAGGATTTCTATAACTTAATTTTTATTAATCAAAAATCATAATTAGATATGTAATTTGTGATGTGATCTGACAATAAAAAACTTCTCCACTCAATTTTATGTTCAACATTCAAAAATTCATCTTATGAATGCAGAGCGTAATTTCGGTTCAAGATAGATTGATGATCGAGTGAAAGAGTTGAATAAAGAACCTGAAAATTCATCTCAAACTCTTTCTTTTCAGGACTCTGTACACGATTTGAATTGGTCTTGTTTCTGCGTGGATAGTTCAATCGGTCCCTGTGGTCGATATTTCAGAACATGGGAGAATTTGTGTGTCTATGCTAAACGCAGTGAAGATGATTCAAAAAAATCAAAGGCAGGGTGAACAAATATTTTCTCCGAAAAGAAGAAATGAACTGTCACTGATAGCAAATTTTAACTTCTATCAATATATGGTAAATTGATACTATGATACTGCTTTTTGGATGAAAATTCAAGTTTTATCTTTAAAATTGCGGTATATTTTTTTCATCTCTCTCACATCTAATATTATGCGCAGGTGAGAATTTGACCTGACTTTGAGGTGTTACAAAGTTTTTTTTGCAAAATTAAAAGAAAAAATATTTTTGCAAAATTAAAAGAAAAAAAAGTTTTTTTTGCAAAACAACGAAAAAATGAAAATGCCTTGTGATTTTTTATTTGTAGTTATTTTTCTTTGTGAATTCACATGTTATTCGAATTTAAGTCGAATTTAACTTCATTACGAGGCCAAACTGTGCACTGGATAGGAGCACAATTTTGTGTCTGTATGTTCCTGGATTCCAGAGACAAGTCTTTAAACATGTTAAAATTTTGTCGAAACGATCAAAAGAAAGTAAAGAACAAAAGAAGAACAAAGAGAGCGTCCTTGTTGCGGAATCCGCTCACAATGCACAAAATGCACAGTTTGGACTCGTAATGTTGATTAATTATAAAATAAATTGAAGTTTTATTAATTTAAATTAAAGATTATATTATTAAGTATCAAAATACAGTATTAGACTTGATTTGTTCACTCTGCCGCAGAGTAAAATTCACGAGTTGAAAAGCAAAGACGCGCCCAAATATGACGAGGAAAAGTGTTTCTCCTCCTTCCGTGACTTCATGGCCTGTACTATGGCCAATCCTGACATTAGACCGTGGGCTTCGGCTTTGAAGCGACACAAAGAAAGAACGACTGAACCAAAACCAACTGAAACTAAAAGCAGTTGATTTTCCTATCTGATGACAATGTTTAAAAACTGCCTTGGCTGTAGTTTTTTTTCATCAGAATTGAACTTCGAAGTTCAACTTTTGACTGAATTGATGCAAAAACAATAAGTAATTCATCAACTGAAAATAAAAGTGCTTGATTTTCACGATTTCTTGATTTCAAATGACGATGTTTCAAAATTGAACTGATTACGATGTCCTCGAATGAAAAAAAAATTATAACGGAGTCTTGAAATGAAAAATTAATTAAAAGCAACTGAGGCTAATTGAGATTTTGATTGAAGCTAAGGGCAATTTTTTGAAACTGCTCATTGAAAATTCTTCAAAAAAAATGAATGAAACTTCCGTAAACTGTGGTTCTACTCTGTGATGAAACAAAATATTATACTAGATACTACAAAATATCTTTGAGGGAAAGGAACAAAATACGAGCTGTTCAGCTCTTTACAGAGAACCGCTGCTGTACTCCTGCTAAAAATCTACACACATTTTATAAATTAATTTTTATCGGCTGGGGGAAGTTTCCTCACGTTCAATCGAACAAACAAGCAAAAGTGCGCCATGATGAGCCTCGAACCCCTGACCTTATGATTGATAGTTTTTTTCATCTAAAAACGACCTAAATTGAGTTGTGGGATAATTTTGATATGCAAACAAAAACTTCTTTTGAAGTTTTCGATGACGTATTCACCATGTTTTTGCGTTTTTCGAAGCGAAAAGAAAACGCCAGTTTAAAAATGAGAGGGTGTTTTCAAAAGCGAAGAAAGTTTATTTAAATATCATCACACACCCTCGAGTATAAACGTATCAGCCTTCGCCGGTTTAATTCAAAGGCTGATTTTATACATGTATACATGGCGTACACTTTTTAACGAGTCTCAAAAATCTGACCATATGATTTCTTATCTGGCTAGCGGGTGTGTAAAAATGAACTTTTAAAATCAAATTGAGCCGAATGTTTTGTGTTATGATCTATGATATGAGAGGTGTTCAAAAATGAACCTGCTTAACCAAAACAAAAGCAATCGATAGTTGATATATGTGTATGAAAATAAATAAGCTTAAGAAAGTAGTTTTGGTTTTTAGCCTTTTAGAATTATATATCTGCTGGATTAGCAAATGAAAGTACATACCAAAATTCATACTGGTCAACAATTGACGCAAGTTCGTTTTAAAGTATTGAATAAAAATTAAAATGACTTCAAGAATATAAGGATCCCCTCAACATGAGGAAATACCTGAAAACCGGTGTAAAATATCAAAATATCTATCGGTTCTTGAACACTTTGTGTAATATACAGTTTTCTTTGCCAAATATTTCGAATTGGCGTCGTTAAAATTGATGTTTGTGGTAAAAAAATGTCATGGTTGTTTATAATTAGTTTAAAAGATTTTTGGGATCTTCTAACTACCCCCCCTATTGCTCTAGGGAGTAGTTTCGTTACTAGGTGCATAAATCATAATTAAACCGACCATTTGAAAAATGGGGAGCAACTTTGTATTCGGGTGGGGTTATGTTTTTATTCTTTTTTTGTTGTTCACGCAAAACCAGGTACCACAATTAATCATCATAATTGGTCGTGTGATGTGTCATATTAAAGCCCTTTTAGTCGTGATTCGAAGGGCATTAAAACTGTAAAATTTTCTCAGTGTCGAGAAAACCCGGTTTGAAATTTTTGATTTTTGAACTAATTTCGAGCGAATAAAGCGAGCGAGCAGACTTACCAGAGCTTATTTCTCCTAAATTTAAGCCCTGTAATCTTAGTTTTACGCAAGTAAAATTAGTTTTTGGGATTTTAGTTTTTAGTCGATTGTTTTTTGTTTTTCGAGCCATTTTTCTACAAAACTCGGCCTTTAGACTATGACTCGAATAACACTAATTTGAAAAAAAACTTCTATACTTTTTTAAGACTCTGGTCGGAACATTCTGTGCTACTTGCACAGTAACCGGCTATCCTTACTCTTATATGCTTAATCGTTAAATAATTTCTTTATAGGGGGACTCATTACTGGATACCACAGGGGTGGGGGAATATTTAGAGGGCTGATTTTTCATTTTTTTCGATTTCCAACTTCAATTGACGGTAAGCAAGGGGCGGATTTTGAGGGGAAAGGCGGATGCCACTAAGCTCCCCTCCATCCCAGGTATTCGACCCACTGGCAAGAGACACTCCTAGATCCCGCACTTTGAACTATTTAATTTTTAGCTAACTTCTATTATATGTAAGTTTGAGAAGGTTACTTCTATGAGGATTGTGAGGATTTTTGTCAACTCGGTGAAAAAATGTTTTCTTAATTAACCCACCATGGTACTTACAGTTAAAAAAAATTTGCTCTTCAACAGAATAGCGCAACAATTAAGCGTTTACAAGTTTTGCACCCCTTCAAATTAGCCAATTTTTCAATATGGTTTATAAGTATCAATGCAACTTTTTGGCCAAAGTTTTCCAAAAAGTGCCCGAAAACCGCATGTTTGACCTGTGTTTTTTTTTCAAAAATAAAAAAATTGCCTGCGACGCTGAAAATTTTTGGAAACATAAGGTCTTAATAGTGTTCTTGGAGTGCTGGGAAATCAGTTTGCTCGACCTAAAAAAACGGTCAACAAAATTTAAGAAAATGTTTTGAAAATCTAATCAACCCCCATCCCCCACCCCCCCCCCCCCACCCTCAAGAAAATCTAGATCTGCCCCTGGTCTCACTTGATTAAGATTGGTGATACTTAATGTTAAAAAAGCGTCAAATTATTACCAACGCAAACCCGTCTCAACTCAGTAGTTAAAAATTAACTTCAAGATTTAATGCATTTTGAATCTCAAAAAGGTGTGTAGTTTTTATACTTTTTCATAGGTAAGTCTAAACTTAAGTGCCTTCTGTTTGCTGCTGGCTTTGATAACATACCGAACAATTGGTTTTATTTGTGGTTCACATTTTCGATTTGTTGGCTGGCTCTTAGTTACTAAACTTACTTCTCTCTCGTTGGTCAAAGTTAATAAAGATTTGAAAAAGCAAAGTTAATTAAATAGAAAAATTAAGTTGGTTTGCTGAAGTTGATTGAAGAAAAATTATAAATCTAGTTGAGTTAAGCTAGATTAAAAGCGAGTTGACAACATGGCGAGAATGCTTCCAATGTCTGGAGTTCTGTTGGCCATCTGCTTCTCCGGGGCACGTGGCGCGGATTGGACCTTTTCCGGTAAGAAATTCTCGAACCTTTTTTTCATTTAGAACCAAATTTGGTCCAAGTTTGATGTTGAAAGAAGGTAAAATCCCTCATAGGCGAAGGACCGAATGGGCGAAAATAAAAATTAGATTTCAGTATTCCAAAATTTGGGAAGAAACCGTGAAAAGTTAAAATTGCCAGGGTTTTAATATTAATATTAGCCAAACATAAAAAGGGCAGAAATATGCAAAGTTTTCAAATTGTCACTGACCGTCGCCGAATTGGGACAAATTCTAGATTTAAAGAATTTCGTTATAAAAGAAGCAAAATATTGCTTCATTTAATTCCTTTTAGTTGAACGGCAATTGATACATTTTAATAATTGACTTTCGACTGTTTTTGTTTTCGGTCCTTCGCCCATGAGTCTTTCGCTCATTCAATTCTTCGCCCATGAGAATAGCCCCCTTGAAAGAAGCTATAATGAACAGAGATGTTTTTCTTCGTTATCTAGACCAAGAGGCGTGGCTTATTTTACCGACTGATAAAACCTATTCACCTTGGGTACCCAGGACTCCAGAAATTCCTAGAAAAATATTTTTATTAAATCTTCTCTAGTTTATTTGTATTAATTATTTAAATGAGACCAAATTTATATCGTTTTAAAGCTCAGTCAAAGAATGATATAACTAGTGATGCAATATGAGTTTGTAATGGAGGGAGGAAAGGCTGGGTATATTTGTTTCAAGTCATTTTGTGCTCCGGAATAACCATTTTTTTTTGAAATTTCGAGCTAACAGATATATTTTTGCACCCTTCTCAAAATAAATATATATCAGAGCCAAAGGTGGATGTCGTCAAATAATATTCGGCAAAATTAGACAGACAGAATTGAGGGGGTAGAGGGCGGGGCAGACGACACCACACCTCCCTGCTTGGCTTAACATCTGAATAACTTCTTGGCTTAACATCTGAGTGTTTAGCTAGTTGCGCGATTGTTAATCATCATCATCATCGGTTTCATAGCTTTGAATTAAATCAAAGTATCTGAATGTTCTAGCAAAAATATCTCAATTTTTTGTGTAAATTCATGATGGGTAGACTTTAAGTAAGCACTAAATCTTTTTTTCTAGCCACTCCATAGTTTTTTGCTTATGATATTGGCGCTACATGGTTAGTTGCATATCGATTTAAATTTATTTTGATGTTGTTTGTAATGATTTGACGGATAAATATGTTCATCAAGTCATTACAAACATAACCTTGATGGAGAATTTGACATAGAAGCATGTTGATGGAGACGAAATAGATTATGATCTCTGCTCCGAACCTCTGGTTGAATTGGAGAGATCGATTAAGTTTGAGAGATAGAAAGAGAGCTAAGGCACTTTCGCTTACTTTTGGTTTTTGTCTTGTCAAATAGATTCTTTGTTTATTTCATCGTCATCATTTTTTGTTTCAGACCAAAGTGCGTGGACCAACTCTCCGGCGGCCACTGCCAATGGCTGGACGTGCGGCGGGAATAGGCAATCCCCAATCGACATCATCACCAGCGATACCGTACGGGACCCCAACCTAGATGATGGATTCGAGTTTTCGACTGCAATGGGACAGAATATGGCGAACGCTTCCTATACCAATAAGGGATACACTAGTAAGTGGTGATTTGTTCTCTTGTTGACTTTATTTTGCTAGCCGAGATCCAGAGGAGACTGGCGCCCAACCCTGTCAAAATAAGAGCTGGTAAGTGTTATGAGAATGTTCTAGACCACTAAGAATTTGTGTATCTTGAAATGATATTGGAATTTTTTCAGATGTAGAAGTATCCTGTTTCAATTTTGAAACATTTATTTAAAATATTCTAGCGTTGTTATGTAATTAAGTACTATATGATAGAGTGGGCGCTTGAAACTAACCGTGTCCCTTGAGAATCAGACACCTATGGCTGTGAAATCGTTTAATGATAATGATTTTCGCAATTTGGAAAGAAGTCGTAGTTTATTTTCAAACAAATTTTATGTTTTGTTGCTTCGTAAAACCTCCTTCTCGCCATTTTTAGGAGTTTAGACAGATAGTTTTTAGGTGTTTAGACAGGTGTTTCTCGCCATTTTTTAGTGTTACTTTATCAAGGGACCACTCTGTCATAATGGTACCTATAACTATGCAAAAGTGTTTTTGGTACTACTATGATAGAGTGGTCCCTCGAAAAAGCAACTATGATAGACAGATCCCGCATGCATTTCGCATGTTATAATTTTGAAAACTAATTTGAGTATAAATTATTCAATTCAAAAATCTCGCGAAATACGTTGAGTCAGTAACTTTTCAGATTAGAAATTGTAATTACTACATTGTTTATACATTGAAATTTGCTCGCTTCACTTTGTTGTACGGTTTAACAACCATAATTGGGTTGACATATTTGTCATCAAAATCCACTATTGACGTTTTTTTTAATTTTCAACCTTAAAAAGCTGAGGGAGAGGTTTTAGAAGTAACAAATTGTAAAATTTGTTTGAAAATATACTGAGACATCTTTCTGAATTGCGAGATCATAATTATTAAACGATTTGAGAGCTCTATGTGTCTGATTCTCACGGGAACTGATTATTTTCAAGGGACCAGTCTATCATAGTAGACCGTGTTTTTTTAGGCAATACCGTAAAGAAATCTCGCATAGAGCCTAGTATGAAAGTATATTAAAGCCATTTTTACGTTGATTCGTTTTCAACAGATAATTCAGAAAATTTCATTTCTTCTGTGTCTACTATTTGAAAATGTTTTTGGTCTGAGAGCAACCAGATGTTTTTGTTTTTCTGATCACCCGTCTGATTCTTACAACTATTGCTTACATTCATGTTTCAGTCTATACGATCTAATTTTTGATGCCTAAATTTAATTCTCTTTACGGTCTAGTAAAAAAGCAGAAATAACTTGTTTTTCCCTCTTTTTTTCAAAAGAGTTTTGTCACGAATGCTTCGGCGTAGCAAACATTTTCAACGAGCCCAGCAACTGACTATGCTTGTTTACTTACTTACTTTTTCTGCTTGTTAGGTTATATTAGAAACAAATCATTTCCATTGCACTGCTTTTAGCTAACTTTTTTGTATCAAAAGTCGAGTACCTCAGTTGATTGGTTGGGTTGAAATCGAACTTTTCTGTTTGTGAACTTTTCGCAAACTTTCTCAAAATTAACTTTGTACAGCTAACTTGTAATAATTCCCATCCTGAAAAACTTATTGCATGAAATGTTGCACATGCAAAAATATTATATAAACATACTGCAGATCAAAATATTTATTATAATTGATTTTTAAAACACTTATCCGATTTTTTGAAAAAGGAAAGATTTCTGAAAAATGCGAGATATGAAATTGTTTTGCATTCCAAAAGCTCGAGAGTGAATAAAGCAGCCCAAATACAAACCAACCGAAAATGAGCGGAGTATATCAGCCAGACGAAAAAATTGCATCATATGAATGAATTTTGCATACTTTCGTAGCTGTTACATAATTGTTACTTTACTAGTATATAACACTTACGTATTTTCGGCTGGTTGATACTTCGGCTAGGTTATGTACGAACCTGAAAAGTGTTTACACAATCAAAGTGTTGTGTATTCTTACGAAGAGTTTTTTTGTTCTAACCTAAGTCGCAAATAAAAGTGCTCATTTGGTGGCACTTTTGGTATATCTATCTATCTATCTATCTATCTATCTATCTATCTATCTATCTATCTATCTATCTATATATCTATCTATCTATCTATCTATCTATCTATCTATCTATCTATATATCTATCTATCTATCTATATTTATCTATCTATATCTATCTATCTATATCTATCTATCTATCTATCTATCTATCTATCTATCTATCTATCTATCTATACTATAATTAAATACTAGTGACAGCTACCTCCCATGTTTAAGCTCAATAATTTTGCATGGTTAACGAAAGAATTTTTTCATGTTTAAGCTCCTAATTTTTTAACTTTGAATTTGATTTCGACGATTTAGTTCAAAATAATACCGTTGTCAAATGGCTGTCTCCAATCTCTTTATCTTTATCTGGATTTTCTATCTTTTTTTTTTCAATCCATCTTTTTTTTCTGAATAATTGTTCTGAAAAATTTTCACAAAATCACAAAAAACGTTATATCTAGAAAACTACAAAAAATTGAGCAGGCATAATTGGAGGCAAAAAAGTTACTGAAAAATAAATGGCCTTGCGGAAAACTAATTGAAAAATTTCTTAAGCCTTGAAATTTATGATCTAGCTTAAACATGAAAAAATTCTTTCGTTAAACATGCAAAATGATTAACCTTAAACATGGGAGATAGTTGTCACTAGCATTTAAATATAGTATAGATAGATAGATAGATAGATATAGATAGATAGATAGATAGATAGATAGATAGATAGATAGATAGATAGATATATAGATAGATAGATAGATAGATAGATAGATAGATAGATAGATAGATAGATAGGTAGATAGATAGATAGATAGATAGCTAGATAGATAGATTAGATTAATTTTTTTTTCAGAATTTGAAAATTTTTACCCTGTAGTTGGCTGCTGTCAGGGTTATCTCAGTCAGGAGCTGCGACTCTTGCCTCCAAATATGACTGCTCAAATCCTTTAAGTTTTCGAGATATGTCGTTTTTTGTGATTTTTCAAAACATTTTCAAAAAATTAACTTATTTCAAAATTTGAAATTATCCTGTAATTGGGTACTGTCAGGGTACTCTCAGGAGTTTCGATTCTTGTCTCCAAACATGACTGCTCAAATCCTTTAAGTTTTCGAGATATGACTTTTTTTGTGATTTAAAAAAAAAATTCAAAAAATATAGTTTTTTCTTCAATTTGAAATTCGCAACCCTGTAGTTGGGGCTATCGGGGTACTCTCAGGGGACTGCGAACCTTGCCTCCAACTATGACTGCTCAAGTTGCTGTAGTTTTTGAGATATGACGTTATTTATGATTTTTTCAAAAACAGTTTCAAAACCCTGACAGCACCCAACTGCAGCTTAAGGCATTTCAAATTTTTTTTTTGAAATTCCTTTGAAATTCCTTAAGCTGTAGTTGGGTGCTGTCAGGGTTTTCTCAGGAGTTGCAAATCTTACCTTCAAGTATGAATGCTCAATTTCTTTTAGTTTCTGAAATTTGAAGTTTTTTGTGATTTTTTCAAAAATTTTCAGAAAACTCAACTTTGAGTGTTTTTTAATTTGAAATTCCTATCCCTGTAGTTTGGCGCTGCCAGGGTACTTCCAGGATTTGTAACTCTTGCTTCCAAATATGACTACTCAAATACTTTTACTTTTCGAGATTTGACGTTTTCGTGATGACGGAAAAAAGGAATTAAAAAAATATCAAATATGAAATTACCAACCACCATGTAATTAGGTGCTGTCAGAGAAAACTAAAAGCCTGCAGATTTGGTTTCCAATACATGCAGTTTTTCACATTGTCAAAAATTCGAAGCACCGAAGGTGCGTTACACGCTAGTTTCTTTTAAATCATATTTAAGCTTATTCAAGCATAAACAAATTATTGGTATAAATTGCTGCTTTGTTTTTGGCGAGTATTAGGTCTTGTTTGAAAACAAAAATGTATCATAAAAGTTTACGGCGTTTTTTGTTTTATTGCGACGCTCTGGAAAATGTTTGCACTTTTTTGAGAAATTTCAATTTTTCACAAAAAAATACTGTACCGCTTTTCAAAAAAAACAGTACCGGTGGAAAAACTGGCTGCTGTTTTATTTGCCTGCAAATTTTGCTAGTCGGTTTTTCACCTCACGTTCTAGTGGAGGGATTTTTGGCCTGATAATTGTTTTGATTTTTTTAATTTTCTCAAATATTATATGCACATCTGAGATGAAAAGAATCGATAAAAAGAACTATTTATGGGTATCTCCCCTTCTGAAGCGGGTATTCCGTAAATTCGGTAGAAAAAGTTATGGCCTCAAACCAGCCCATTTTTTGACGTTTTGGTTAATTTTAAAACTTTCTGAATTTCCTCAAAAACTACTCTGCCAAATCGGAGACTAAGGGTTAAACCAAGAGAAAGGGCTTAACCATTTTTGTGCGAGTCTTACCTGCGCAAGCAGCTATGCCCTGCGTTTTATAAAGTCCAAATTTAGGGTTTAAACATCATTTATGCGAATTTTCTCTGCGCAAGCAGCTCTGCCCTGTGTTTTGGAAAAGTCCAAACTTAGGGTTTAGCCATAGTTTATGCGAATCTTACCTGCGCAAGGAAAATTATTCCTTACCATTTTAGAAAGTTATTCTGTTTTTGAAAATCAGTTTGCTGATTTTAAAGTTGATATTTCTTTAAAACTAACACGGTGCTTAGATTTTCCCTGCGTAATCTGTTTTAACCTGTTTTTTTGTTGAAAAGCTGATATGGACTGCGGATATATTCTTTTTAAAATTTTTACCGTTTGAGAAACAATTCGCAAAAACAGTTTTGGTCACAATTCGCAAAAACGATAAGCTAAATCTGATTTTAAGGGCTCATTTTAAAAATCAGGAAGTTGAAAGCAGAGCCTATTTCGTTGGTTTACTAGAGAAAAATTAAGGATTTAGGGAAAGTCAAATTTTTCACTCTTTGATCGTTTTTTGGAATTTTTTTTAAACTTTTTTTCAAAACCTACCCATCCAAATCTGAGCTAAAGACTTCAATTGAAAAATCGAGCAGTAGTTTTTTTCTTTAAACGAGCGGTTAATCCCCAACTTAAGCAGTGAAACACTAGGATTTAGCGAAAAGTCCATTTTTCTGAAATTACTCATTTCCGTATCAGTACAATATATGATTAAAAATATTAGAACAGGTAGATCCAGCATTAGCTGGGGCACTAATTTACTTCCAAGCAACCGTTGCGCAGATGCGAGGACGTGAGACTCCTAATCGAGAGATCGGATATTCCAATCCGGAACATTTAAATAGTTAAAAAATTTTTGGTCGAGTTTTTGCTGCATAACATCGGCGATTTGATAGAAACTGCAGCTGCGTTTTTGTTTGCTAGTGTTAGTTAAATTACAAGCGGTTGTAAAGCAGATGTGAGAAATTGAGAAAATCCTAGTCTCGAAAAAAATTTTCAGGTGTATTTATAATCTTTTCCTTATTTCACTTTGTTTTGCCTGCTTACAGCTCTTTTTTGCATTTTCCTCGCTTTTGTGTTTGCCAAGTGCAGCTTCGCCTCTGTGTTGGCAAGTGCATCTTCGCCTCTGTATATTTACAATTAAATTTCGTTTGAGTTTCTTGTTGGTATATAAACCAGCAAAGAATAAACCAGCCGAAGTATCAACCAGCCAAATACGTAAGTGTTATATAATAGTTATGTAACAATTATGTAGCAGTTACGAAAGTTATGCAATTTCCTTTCAAATGATGTAATTTTTCCACTAGCTCATATACTCCGCGCTTTTTCGGTTGGTTTATACTTCGGCTGGTTTATTTACTCTCGAGCTTCTGGAATGCAAAACAATATTTGGGTCTGCAATGGGACCCTATATTGTTTTTGCACGTGTTAATTTTCAATCAATAAAAAATTTAAGATGGGGCATTTTTACAAGTTAGCTGTACTAAAGTCAGTTTTGCGAGAGTTATGAGAGAAATTTGACACCATTACAGACCAATTACGTATAATTTTTGATAACTGTTGTTTTACATCGATGTCTAAATTTATTTTTCGTTCAAGTCTAATTTGCAATCAATCGTACCACACCCCACCCCAACCAAATCGTTTTAGCGGGAGAAAATATGTATTTTTCTTCAGCTAAATTTGAGTATAGCCTAGATTTTTTCAAAGTTCGTTTTTAATATTAATCAATTTTTTTTTCTGATTTTTCAAGTGCAAATGGATAATAATGAATACGACACTTCTCCCCTGACAATCGATGGAGCTGATCTGCCCATAGACCCAAGTGACTACACCTTCCTTCAATTCCACTTTCACTGGGGCACTGCAACGACGCCCGGATCCGAACATCTTATTGATGGCCATAGGTTCATGGCTGAAGTAAGAAAGCTCATTTACAATTACAATTACTTGCAGTAGATAATATGGTGCTATATTAGCAAAGGTGTCTTGTCTGAAATTATCATTTCAGTTCATTTCTGGATTGAAGCGCTTTTATTATACTTTCACAATTGTCCGAACGCTGAAGTCTATCACAAAAGAAAACTTTTTTGTATATCAATTGATTTTTTATATACCACTTGAATAAATGGCAATCACAAACTGGTTTCAACAGAATTGATTAGTCTACAAAACTACATACTGTTTTACGGGTTATGCAACTCTTGAACTACCAAGAATTATTTGATGGCATTATCTAACTATTTTTAAATTAACAATCAAAGCAAATCAAATTTAAGTAGGAACGTGGATTGTAAGAACTAATAAAAATGCCTTACTAAGAACTTACAAAATCTGCCCTATAGTAAGCTTAGATGAATAATAAGGGCAATGATTTAATTGGTGTTGATAAAATTTCTATACATAGCTTGTAATCAGTGTTGATATTTTTTTCCAGGTTCATTTCGTGTTCAAGAGCATTCAGACGGCTCTCACTGACGACAACTCACTGACAGTTCTAGGATTCTTTATCGAAGTAAGTTTTTAAGTATAAAAAAGGGATTTTCACTTATATAGGTCCTAATGATTTTTTGTGTTTTTAAGGAAAAGTTGTCTAGCTCAAATCGAAAAATTCACTCTTAATTTTTTTCCGCTTGACTTTTGGTTCTTACGCTTGCGAGCTTTAGTGTATTACTTCAAACTTTTTTGTACTAATTTAACTCATTGTTGCAACTAAAAGTGTTCATTATTTGGTGGCAAAGTGTTCATTGTTTGGTATACTTTGGTCTGGTGCACTTTTGCTATACTCATGATATGTGCATTGAGTGGAAATTTCATTGCATCTCTTCTCTGCTTTATTTGAGGCTAGTGTTTGTGAGTAATTAAGCGTCCGTGGCTGAGTGGTTAGTGCGTGAGACGCATATTCTCTAGGTCGCTGTAGGTTGCAGATCGAGTCCGAGATGCCCATTTTTTTTAATTCGAAGCCTACTTCTATTTTTCTTATTAAGAGTAATGAACGTAGTGAAGACTCTTACATAGGTCTTGCTGTTTTTTTTTCATTTTTTTTCAGGAAGTCCTTAAATTCTCTAATAACTACAGATTACAGATGTGTATTCATCCATATTTATGTATTTATGAATGCTCTTAGGTGTATGCGCTTTTTGAGCTCAATTGAAAATCATCCGCTGAAAGTGATGTAAATAGCACTTGTAAAGATTTCAGCGCAGATTAAAAGTTTTGCCTATTGGTCCAGTTTTTTTCCATTTTCTGGCTCTTTTTCCTTCACCCCTACATGCAAATTTTGGAAATGTTTTTTGTTAAACTGTCCGCTTGTTACACAAATGGGGAATGGATGGCTTGTGATTTGGTGAGGTGGGGAGGGGAAGCATTATGCAACTCTAGAAGTAGCGTGGGTACACATTCTTTCAATCAATTATTTTTCCGTTTCCTTGAGTTTACTTGCGTTTTTCCACTTCCAGTCATATATTTTTCGGGTTAACAACTAGTTTAACAGAATCGCTTGAATTATTTTATCTTTAGTTCATATGAAATCTAAAGTCTGAGGTAAAGGTGCGCATGTGGCGAGGAGTTAAACGCACCTGCCAGTAAAGTCGTAGATCAATTGTTGGAATCCGGCCAGAACCTGTTTTTTTTTGAGCGGAAAAATTTCCGAGCATTAAAAAACCTCTGGTTATCGGTTTGTTTTTTGTCGGTTTAGCTGCCGCAGAACCGAATTAGTCTCAAATTAAGGCCCTTTTCACTTATTTAGGAAATCATTTCATTTCCTTCTGATTTTGTGCAAATAATTGAGTTTCAAAAGTTCGTGTCAATTTTTTAGCTATTTACTGGTTTGTTGATTTTTTTTGACCCTTGCGATTAGCAACGATGTTGCTATCGTGTTCTGGACTTTTTTCCCGTAAATAACTTTGTTCACAGAATGGTAGTTTCAAAGGGGTTTTAATTTACATGAGTGGATAAAAGTGGGGAATTTAATGCTTTGTAATAATTACGTTTAGCGCCTACAGAGAGTCTCAGTTAGTAGTTTGCGGTACATGCAAGATTTTGTAATGCATTTTTTTGTCACAACTTTTGAATGATTTTCAGTTTATTATGTGTTCGATTAGTTTATATCTATCAGATGATATCTTTGATGCCTATAATTGCCCGACCAACATTTAAGTTTTTTCTAAAACTATTGTTAAAATTATTTTTTAAAGGAGAGTTCTGAACATTAGCAAAGTTTGAAACTATTCGATTTACAGATAAAAGTGATCAATCTTCAATAAGTGGATTAAAATTTTATTGTAAAATAACTTATAATAGTGCTCACAAGTGACTGTTTTTGACCCAAATTTAATTTGATTGTTTTGTAGATTGACGATACGCCGGGCTTCGAACATGGTGGTCAGTGGAAAACGCTTCTGGACGCCATTGAAACTCTGTCACAAGGTTAACCGGCAGTCATTTAGTTAAATAGCCTCCAGTCTATGCTCGGAACAATAAGTTCCTTCGAACGATATCATCAGATTGGCAAATATAATATGTTATCAGTAGCTGATTTAGGGGGGGGGGGGGGGGGGGGGGGCGGTGGCGGACGCCTTTCTCCCCTCTGGGATTTGACCCCCTGCCGACCCTAAGGGTCCCCTTTTGGTATTTTTAAGAAATCCATTTTTGGCCGACCGACTCTAAAATTGTTCTAAAGGCGTCTTTGGCGCCAATATATCCTATTTTTGAGGGGAGCGCGCGCCGAGAAAACGTGATTTTTTGGTCAAAATTTTCCTCCAAAAAGTGCCTAAAAACGCCTTTTTTTGGACTTTTTTTTCAAAATTTTGCCTGCGGCGCAGAAAATTTGGACGAAACAGTGACTAAACAGTGCTTAGGGAGAGCTCAAAAAATTAAATCGCTCGGTCTAAAAAAAGGTCGACAAAAATTTTTCAAATTCGGAATGAAACTACAATCTCCTCGCTAACTGGAGTTTGTTCTTATTTTTTCTAAAGAAATTTTACCGTGAAACTGAGCTCTTCAAGGGGGATGAAAAGGTATCAACGGGGTTGACAACAGCAACAACATAATTTGATTTCTTATGTTTTATTTAGAGGATCAAACGACAGATTACATTGACGCGATAGCCATTTCGGATTTGATTCCTATGTACAACCCTTCGATGAAGAAATTCTACCACTATAATGGTTCTCTCACTACTCCCCCCTGCTATGAAGTTGTCAACTGGTATGTCTTTGAGGACCCTATCTACATCAGCCAAGACCAGGTGAGAACAATACTAGCCCCCCCCCCCCCCCGCTTGTTTAGTTGTTTTTCGTTTTATTATGGCTAAATGTGCAATATTACGTTGTAAAGAAAAAATCGGTTCACAATACTTCTTATGAAGATGTTGTTGTATAAAAAAATAATTTGAGGTTCAATTTAAAATCCTTCAATGAAACAAAGCAATCAACTATTTTCCATTTTTTCTTGTAATGCTTATTAAAACTTGTTTAGTGATACGATAGTGATATGATTGGCGGAAAGTTTCAACTTCACCCCAAATTTATCAGTCTGCTCCGCTGCGGGTTGGGGTGGGGGATGACTGTGGGCCGTGTTTTGAAATCAATCGATTTTTGACTTTCATTGGATCCCTCTTTTTTGACCTTTTTCAGCTTCTATTCTGATTGAATTAGGTTCCAAATCCCAAGAAAACATGCATGAAGTTCCTTATTAGTGACAATGGCTTCCTATTTTCAAAACTAAACTCTTTTTAATATTTTTGGTAATTTAAAAAAATATAATTATAAGGAAGGGTAATTATGATTTTTTATTTTAAAGAGTTTTAAATCTATTAAATGTTCATAGTTTTTGATTTTAATATATTTTCTTTATTTTAGTATGACAAGTTCTTCTTAATACGAAATGCGGATAATGAGATACCCACCAATACTTACAGATTTGCTCAGCCTCTGAATGGAAGGATTGTGCGAAGGACTCAATTGGCAACTGTCTCGAACTCTGCACCAAGCTGGACCTTTGCTAGTGAGATACATTGTATACTTTGTTTTTTATGGACTCAGTAGACGTCCTTCACTTCTCTTATTAATTCTACTGGTGAGAGAAGGAATTTCGGGTCTGTTTCGTTATACGGCCCAAAAATGAAAAACCGCTCGTCAAATTTTTTATTAACCAAAATAACTGTGACAATATACAGAAGTCAAAACAAATAATATTCAACCGTTTTAAGTTTTTATTGAAAGTTTGGGGCGTTATGGTTTGAGACAAAATTGTACAATTTTCATCAAAGTTTAGTTGGTCATTTGATAAAATAGGAATGTTTTCTGCCATTTTTGTTTTTTCGCCGGTTCGGTATAATAATGCTTTCCAGCTTATGTCTCCTCGGCTGGTTTCAGTGTCAACCAATCAGAGTTGAGCATATTCATCTCAATGATTCCTGTTTTCAAAATTGTCAAAAATATCTCTTAATAATGATTTCCAGGTTGCGTCTCGGCTGGTTTCATTGTCAACCAATCAGAATTGAGCATATTCATCTCAATTATTGTCAAAAATATCTATTTTGGGCCGCGTAACGAACGGAACAGACTCGGAGTTTCTATCAATATGCCAATTAGCAACTTCGTTGGTCTATAATGAGTTCATGGGGGAGGGTTCTCATGCTTGAAGGACCGAATGCTTGAGAAATTTCAACCAATCAAAATTGCTAAGCGTTCTAATTGGCTAAATGCCTTTCTCACAAAATTGAAGTCAAATTTAGCAGAAAATGTTTAAAGCTGTACAATTCGTACAGATCTAATATTTTTTTTTATTTATTACTTATTTTCTTAGAGATTTCGCGATTTACTTTGAATTTTTGAACACTCAATTCTGATTGGCTCGAAGTAAGCTTAAATTAATTTCAAGCATTCGGTCCCTCAAGCATGAGGGACGCCACCGAGTTCATGAGCATAAACTAATTTGAATTCCAATTGCTTAGCGATGCGTGAAAAAACTCGATTCTGATTGGGTAAAAATTTGAGGTCTCATTAACATCCTCCCCAGAAAAGTTTTATTGGGAATGATAATAAGTGCTCCAAATTGTTATAAGGTTTTGTCTCATTGCCCGATTAATGGGCCGAATATACCGATTGATTGCTCTTCAATCGCACGGTGAAACGTTCTATTTAACAGAGTCAGATCGTGTATTTGATCCCCTGTCATGGAAATCTTGGTATGCAAGCACAAGCTCTTTCTTGACCTCTAGTTTCAGGCCACAATTACTATCGAATGTGTCTAATTTCTAAGATTTTGTTCAGATCTTCTCATGACAAAACGATCAAAATACGACTCATTTTATAAAAACAAAATTAAGTTCAATTTTGTTTTGTGGTCGGAACTTTCTGTGCAACTTGCGCAGCAACCGGCATCGTTGTTCTGAAAATATTCGGTCTAGCTGTTAGCCAAGATAGCCGGAGTTGCTTGAAACACTATAATAACTGGTTCTAAATTGGAATTGGAATATCAGGGTTTGATAGTGACCATGTAACCTGCCTGCCTGTTCTGCGGATTCCAAATTTTGGAAAAGTTCCGAATTCATTCTGATCTAAAAACGTTCGATCTATATTATTCGTTATCTTTCAGACCAAGCAGCGTGGGTTGGTACTCCGGCGGCCGCTGCCGGTGGCTGGACGTGTAATGGAAACAGGCAATCCCCCATTGACATTGACACAGAGAGCACTGTTCATGATTCAAATCTGGACGTGGGATTCACTTTCGCGGAAGCGCTTGGAATGCCAATCAGCCAGATGGATTTAGCCAACAAAGGATACACATGTAAGTGCTTATACTTATTTGGGTGGTTGCTTCTTCAGGAAAAATTCTGGATGAGGGAGAATTTAAAACTGTTTAGTCCAATTGACCGATGAAATGATGAGCTATTTTGGTGATTCGATGAACCTTATCACTCAACGCCCCAGATCTGCCACAGATAGCTCCAATAAAGAGGACTACGCCTTCTGGCAATATCACTTCCACTGGGGAACAGAGGACGAACCTGGATCGGAACACACTGTCAATGGAAAGAGATTCGCCGCCGAGGTAAGATGGAGTTAAGTAGTGCTGGATATCTGGCTGGACATTTTCCGAATACAGAATTTCAAACGTGTTTTCCTATTTTTAATTCTTAAAAACTACTTTGTAATTAATAAAAAAATCTTTGGCGATTAAAAAAAAACTTATTTTAGAAGCTGGAACTAAAAGAGCTTTTCTCGCCATGTAGAAAAAGTTTTCACTTTTTTACAACTTGAATTTAACGATGTTTAATTAGTAGCTGTTTAAGCGGCTGTATATAGCTTCTCCTGTATGTGAATTCGTTTTCACTTTAAAAAAAAGTTTTTGATCATAATTATGGACGAACTGACAAGCTAAATTGGTCCAAAAAAATCGAAGTATTCATGTTTCCTAGATTTTTATAGAAAGGGTAATTTTTCTGGTAATCGAGACGGTCTGTTTTTTTCTGTCTGTAAGGTTTGAATTAAGCTCGCGCATTGTTGCCGCGTTTTTGCATCTGGAACGTTGCTGTATTAGCCCATTTTTGCAAAAACCAGTGTGTACTCCGTTTTTAAAAAATGTTTAAAGGGAGAGAATAAGGTCACGTGATCAATTTCCGACCATGCTGTCAGTTTTATATCGTTTCTCTTTATCAAAGCAATTTTTTCGTAAATCAATTATATAACCGTTTTTCAATATTTTGCTGCTTTTTAGCTTCAGTGTTTAAACTGAGAACTTGTCTGAGCTATTTTTCATCGAACTAAACAAAGGTTCTTTGGAGAGAAAAACATTCTTGTATTGATTTATAATTTTTTTTTTTTTTCAGCTGCATTTCGTGTTCAAGAGCAAGTCACTTGCACTCGCTACGGACAATTCACTGACCGTTCTAGGATTCTTCATTGAAGTAAGTAGTTATTGTTAACCAATTTGAAATTTTTGCTTATTAAGCGCATTTCGAACGAAGAGTCACTCGGCAGGGCGAGAATTCGTAGTATTCAATCCTTCTCCCCACAAGCACAAAAAAAAAACATTTTGAAACACAGCTCGGAAAAAAACCAAAAAAACGGCTATTTTTTTTTGTTAACCGCTATTTTTGATTAGTTTACTTAAGTTTAGTTTCAAAAAATTCTGTTGAAATTTAGAAATATGATGGAACATTCGTTCCTCGTGGACCATTTGCTGACATAATGAACGAGCTCGGAGAACTCATTGATGCAGGTTTGTTGTCCCTTGTTTTATTGTCTAAATTTCATGTGGTTTCGATTTTTTTTTTTGAAAATTGAAGAAATCAACGGCTACAACAGAGCAGTTCCTTAATAACTGTGCAACAATTGTGTAACAAGCTGATAAACGTTTCAATCTAGAAGCATTTTTTTCTGGCTACATCTACCCTGAAACGAATTATCTACTCGTTTCATTTTACGAAGTCCACTTATGATTAATCCCATTTCGCAAATAAAAATACTCATTTAGTGGCATTTTTGCTGTCATAGAATTTGGCAAATTGATAGCATTTTTTGTATCTGCTTTACTGGTGGCTAGGGTTTGACGTTTGTCAAGCGGCCATGGCGCAGACGTGAGACTATTTATCTCCAGGTCGGGGCTTCGTTTTAGAAACAAGTCGAATGTTTCATTTTTTTAACCTTTTTTCCCCTTTTCCTTATTTTTTTTGTAACCGCTTTAGGACGACTTTTTGCATTTTATTGCTTGTGCTTTTGTTTTAACCATTGCGTTTATTTTATCATTGAACTAATTTTTGGCTGTTTTGTTCACAATCAGAATTTTTTTATATATAAATAATTAGACAAGATAATGAGCAAGCAGTTAAATTGTTTTTAGGCAATCGATTTTTAGAAAACAATGAATTTACTGTATTTTCAAAATTGAGCCATTTTTGACGCGTTTATACATTTTTGAAGAACTGCTAATAGTAAGAGCTTTTCGTGGCCGTGAACAGTTTTTTCAACTGTTTTTTATTGCAAATATATACCTAATAACTTACCTTAGTTTTATCTTCAAATTTTTAAGCTGTTTTTATTTAGTAATATTTTAAAGACCGAATTTTGAATAATTTATCCTGAAGAGAATGAGAACGATGAGCCATAGCAATTTTTTCCAACGTTATCAGGTGTTAAAAATAATTTTATATAGGGTGGTTTTTTATCTGGTTTGAACTGCTCTATTAGGATAACTTCAAACAGTTCATTGATTTCAAGAGAAACCAGTTGGTTTTTTATTACATTTGCGGAGGTTACTGTCAAATTATGATATCTATTTGTTTTCAAATCGAAATCTCTAATAAAAGGTATGCTTTCGCTGTATAGCATTGTATCTTTGTGTCTGTTTTGTTGGTGGCTTGTGTTTGCAGTTTGCTTAGCACGAATGGCGCCGATGCTAGGACTTGTGGCCCCTAGTCGCCATATCCGTGTCCGATTCCGGCCTATAGCATATCTATATTTTTGTCTTTTGCTTTTTTGAACCTTTCGGAGCTAATTTTTGCCGTGTTTTCGCTTGCCTGTGTTTGTTTTTCATATCTTACATCGTTACTTTACGCGCTTAGCCGTAATTAAAAATAGAACAACCATAAAATTTTGAAACAGAGCCGAGTAGTATTTTGATGACCTCTCAAGTTTGTATCACAAACCATATTGGAAACGAATTAGTTTTTGAAGCAAAGCAAACTTGAGAGGTCGTCAAAAATAAATTGCTTATAGGCGTCAGTGTGACGCCTATAACCAAAGTTGACCACTTCTAAAACAGCCTTGATACGAAAAACGTGGAAAAAAACCTGCTGTATCGTCACAAAAAACGCCATGTTGCTTTGAACTCAGTTGCTTTGAACAGAAACATCCTAAAATTGTGTATCATAGAATGCCGCTTCGAATTAAGATAAAATTTTACTACATTCATAGGATCCCACGTTGAATGGGATAATATGTTCGCGCTGACTGACTTGCTGCCGCTGAATGACCCGGAAGTGATGAGCAAATTCTTCCACTACAAAGGATCCCTGACTACGCCACCCTGTCTCGAAGTCGTCAACTGGTATGTCTTCGAAGACCCAATCTACGTCAGCGAAGCACAGGTGAGGTCATTACCAGGAACCTTTGATATTACCAGGAATCTTGGGTATTACCAGGAACCTTGGGTATTACCAGGAACCTTGGGTATTACCAGGAACCTTGGGTATTCCCAGGAACCTTGGGTATTACCAGGAACCTTGGGTATTCCCAGGAACCTTGGGTATTACCAGGAACCTTGGGTTTTACCAGGAACCTAGGGTTCTTTTTTCCTAGAATCCTTTGAAAGTCTTTATAAAAAAATCCTGAAAAACTCCGATTGCTAGCAAAATACCACTATCATATTATGGAGCTAACAAACATAATCAAGTAGTTGATCAGAATTGTAATTCACGCTTGCAGAAAACGGAACGCTTTGAACAAACCGTAAAAAAAGACTGGGACAAATCAGATTTTACTCCCAAACTCAAAAAAAAAAAATTCAACAGCAGGATATTGGCAAGAAAATCATATTGTTCCATTAAAACTCTACATATTCCGCCAAACAACTACTACCAATTTCAAAATACAGCCAGAATAGTCTTGTCTGAAGATATATTATCTGTTATCTATATTATATAGATAGATATAGTGTATCAAAATAATTTGGACTGATATAAATTTCACATTGCTCTTACATTTCATACCTTTAACGTTGCGCAGTAGTCAGTTTCAATGTAAGGGGGGGGGGGTTCTTTTCGGTCACAACTGAGTTTTTTAATTTTGAAATTGCATCATGATTCTCGAATCTGATGGTTTAAATTATTAACAAATATTAACAGCAAAAGAAAATCAAGTTTTTCGTTAATAACAGAAGCTCAATAAACAGTTTGGCAAACTTGGGCCGTAAAACAAAAAAACACGGATGGGGTTAATCAAAAAAGTTTTTGTGACGTTGGACCTTGTAACGAATCCCCCCCCCCCCCCCCCCCCCCCCCCCCCAACATAAAGAAAGATAAAGATTTGAACAGTTAAGCATATACGAATTTGATACGTTGTTAACTATTGCTCTCCTATTGCAATAAGGGGGGACTAGTTAACAAGATCCGCGATGGTTTTGTTCGGTACTATATCTGAGAATACTTCAATTTTAGTTCTCAAGATTCCTAGCTGGAAGGGCACACAATGGTGAATTAATTACTGACACCTACAGGGCTGTTCAACCCCTCAACGACAGAGTGGTCTATCGAACCAAGACTGCCGACTCGAACACTGTGCGAATGGCTATAAGTGCACTGGTAGTTGCACTCTTCGCACGCATTGCACTCTGAGCGTGCGAATGGCGTGAACAAAGCTGAGTAGTGAGAGTGCAAGAGAGAAAAGAGAAATACAAACAGCGGCTGTAAAATAGAATTCGAAATAAAACTAAGCGATTTTTTAATAATTGAAACTGATAGTAAAAAACATAAACGGATACTAATTTTTGATGATTGTGATAACAATAAAATAATGATTCGAAAACAAACGAGAATATCATGCAAACTTTGATTTAATGAACTCTCGCCTTAATTGTCGTTGGATTCTTACTCATTTTTTTCTAGAGATTTCATTATTATCACAGTTCTCTGAGTACGTGGAAAATTTGTCCTAATTGATTTTCAACAGTTTCAAAAGTTAGATGAAAAAATGCGGAAATTTTTAATGATTTATTTTTTTTTTGTTGGTTGGAAATCGATTGTTGCTTTCATTAACTTGATGTGAATTGATTGCTCAATTGTTTGATAAAATTTTGTATTTGTAAATATGGTTTGTTATCTTATTAATCGGCATTAAATTTAACAAATTAATTTTGAATGAAGTTGTTTCAGATGAAAATATTTTGATACTACTGTTTTATTTACAAAAAAATTTCTTTGAAAGGTTTTTTTTAGAAATCAAGTAAGATTTTTTTGTCCAGAATCAACAACCGACAGCGGTAGAATTTAACGCGAAAGCTATCTCTCAGGCTGGGGATCGAACTGTCAGCGTTACCGATGTTTTTCTGTAGCACAGTCGAAGATAGTGTCATACTGCAAAGTTACTTTTTCGCGAAGACATGTTGATAATAATCAGTTTGATAATATTTCAAAAGTTGTTGTGTGAAGTTTTTAGAACCTAAAACTAACTGACATATTTTTTGCTTACTTACAGAGACAGGTTGATTTTGAACATGTTGAATTGAATGGTGGGCAATTTTTTTGTTTATTTTGCATCGTGCAATCAAATGTAGCAACCATTGCGATTAATTATAAGTAGTTGGGGGAGCGTTGTTAAAGTGATTCCATGTCTTCTCTCAAGCGAAAAGTCGGATGTTCGAAGGTCACTATGATCAGTGCTCGTTGCTTGAGGGTTGGTCAACATTACCCAGCCGGGAAAATAGCAAAAAAGTTTCCTGTAGTTCGTATGCAGGGACACAACAACGGAGCTCCGCGAAGAACTGAGGAATTGAACAGCTCGTAAGCCTAACTTATTTGATTTTATACTAAATTTTAAGCTTGTTTGAACAAGTTATCTAGTTATTTATTTATTTTTTGAAATGATATTTTTTGCAAAAAGCATATAAGTTAATCGAAAAAATAGCCTTTTAAGTAAGTTGCTTGCTGTATAGGCCATCAAGTAAACATCATAGGCTATCAAGTTGGTCAATAGTTGCTTTTTTATGAGTTAGCAAATTCGTCTGAGTTAAAATCTTGAACAATTTCCCCTCTCCCCTATTAGAAACTATCTGCCATTAGCCAGGTAAAAAATAAAATACAATAGAAACTATTGTTTTATTAGCTTAGAAACTATTGTTTTAGTAGCTTTTGAGTTGCAAGTGTGAGCAGTTGATCCTTTAAAAGAACATTTAATTCATTTTTTTACTAGAAAAAAGAAATCGGATCAATTTAGGTTATTCTCGGAATCATTTTCTCGGAATCCAAAACGTTCTCGGAATCCAAAATATTCTCGAATCCAAAATATTCTTGGAACCCAAAAAGTTCTCGGAATCCAAAAATTGCACTTGTAATTTCAAGGCAAAGTAGATAATTAATTTTAATCCATTTGATTTTTGAAATCTAGTTGTTTTTTAACCCTACGAGTTTGGAAAATATAGGTGGAATTAAAATTGAAAATTAACTCCAAAATGCTTGACACTTCCGCAAATCGGATTTGATTAATTTTTGCACTACCATATAATATCCTTGTTGCGTGAAACTTCTGAGCATTTTTCCACCCCTCATTCCGAAACTATTTCGCAAGTCACTTGTATCCTAGTTTGCTGTTCATTTTGAAAAATTAAAAATAACTGGACAACTTTATCTCAAATAAAAAATTTTTAAGATCAAGCTAGATTATTGTTAGAAACTTAACCAGCAGTACTTGAAGCAATCAATTGAAAACAAGGTACGTTTTCAACACATCTTTCAATCGAGGAAACTTCGAGAACTACTAATTTTTATTTTGAAATTTGTGTTATAACGTTTTTTCTTGGTTAACTGATTGCTGTTAATTGTTTCATATCATTTTTTCAAGACAGGAAAAACTTTGAAAAGTCTCTGCTTTTTTTTAAACTTCAACCGATCTAACAATAACAAAAAATTACCTAATCATCCCTTAAAACGTGGCTGTTTTTTTGAGTCGTTGTTCCAATTTTCGAAGAACTTGGATGTTTTTTTTCAATCTTCCAATTTGCTTTCAAGCTTTTTCAGACAAACTTTTTTCAAACAATTTTTTAAAAACGTTTGTGGGTTTGGAAAATGTCAACTGGGCCTATTTTGGATTGCTAACGTGCTAAATAGTTTGAGCTATTAACGTCGGATCGTTGATTTATTCCGGCTCAGAAATTGTTCCATACTAATTTCGGTTAATAATTCGGTACCAGCGCAAATTACATCACATTGTACTATATTGTTGCAAAAAAAGTGTTGGCAACAATTTTTTTGGATCTTGTTAACGATCCCCCCCCCCCTACTTCGATTTTCAGAAATCAATTTTGGCGGCCACATTTTCAATAGCTTAAAACAATTTTCAGAAAATATATATACATAAAATTTTTTACATGGGTATTATATAAAACAGTGAGTAATACAAATAAGGAGACTAAAAAATGAAAACCCACTTAATTGTTGACATTTTTGAAATGAATATTTTATACAGAAATGGTTGTCAAAAATAATACATGCATAGGGGGGGGGGACTAGTTAACAAGTTCCTTTTTTTTCAATCTATAATGGCATTAATCTAAATGAGTTTCCTAATTTTAGACAGACAGGGTAGCTTTTGATGGAAGATCTGAAAAACAGAAACCATTTTACTATTTTCTTAGCGTTTGGAGGAATTATATTTTTTTATTCTTCTTTTTTTTTTAAAACAAAAGTATTTCATAGACTGTAAAAGACTGTCTGAACAATCAATGCTGATTTGAGTTGCCTCATTCTTGCTATGAGATTCAAAAAACCTCCTTCAATTGCTAAAGTTGTGTTTTATTTTCCTATTCCGCAATTTTCTTTCAAACTATCAATTTGTGTGGCTTTTTTGCACATTTTCCTCACAATATTTCATCAAAATTTGCTGCTGGGATTTTTTCAACGGTTTCATTGAGATAGTTAGAATCGAATTCTAAAATTTTGAGAATTGTTATTTCTTTTCTAAGTCTTTTCATTTCAATAAACAATTTTTCCGGTTTACTCCGACCAAAACTTATTATAAAAATCAGGTGTCATTCTAAAAAATAGAAAAACAATCAATAAACAGTGTTTTTCATGAGATATTTTGTAATTATCTGTTTTAATTATGATTTGCAACTGTTTAATTTGTACCAACGGATGTCGGCCGATTGAATATCTGAAATAAGTGCACAAAGAATGACTGTCAAAAAACGAGTAATTTGAAACTTCCAAAATTTCAGTTAAATTTTTGTTGGTCATAATGACATCTTGTAGCGTCTGATGTTTTTTTCGGAAATAGGAGAGTTTGGGTTTTTATAAATTTTGTTTGCATAAATAAGAATTGATGCTATGTTGGATCTTAAAATTTGTTCCACCCATAATTGAATCTTAGTATCGAATAATCACTCCTATACAAACAACGAATAAAAAAATTAAGAAAAAGAAGCCTTTGTACCTCGCTCTCTCTTTCGTTTTAGTGGGGGGGGGGGGGAGGGGGAGGGGAAGTTAAACAGATCTTTGACATTTGTGGTAAACTGTTATGACGTAAAAAATGCTAAACAGACCATTTTAGTAATCCCCCACCTTAAAATCAATTTTGAAATTTTAAAAATATTTTGTCATTTGCGGGTTATGATTACCCATATACAAAACACTTTGGTTTTTTTTGAAACATCGTAATTTGTTTGTTTCTCGTTTAATTGATTTTAATTGTTTAGATCTGTCGAGTAAACAGCAAAAAGTAACTAAACATTCAGATTTCCTGCTCAGAAATCAATCATCACCACCCTCACATACATAATATTGTTTTCTAAAACATACCTTATACAAACCATGATAGTTTTTTCTGCCGCTAAAAAAGGCGTGGATTTATTCTCCAGTCCAAAATTTTTTCTTATTCACAATAAAAATTAATTTAGATGAATTTTCCCGCAATTTTTTTGAAATTCTGAAAAAATGAGATATTGAAAATATTTTTAAAGAACTAGAAATTTGTTTTAACTGATGCAAAAATTTTTCAGGTTCTAGGCGAAGTGAAAGATAAAGTGGTCTAGAATTGTTTTCATTAGGAAAATTGAAATTGATATTTTGATATCAAGAAATTGAAACGAAGTTTTTTTGGTATGAACCATGTGATAGTTTAAATGGTAGCAAGGATAAATGAAAACGCTAGCAAAACAATTCACAAATTGTTGGAGGGTGTTCGATAATGTTCGGACTAACATAGAAAATCTTATTTTTAGATGATATGCTTTCAAAGCTTTTAAAAAATGATTGACTAACTGGTTCTTTTGAATTGATCATCTTTGAAATCTGAGCACTAATAGAGTAATGAATAATCAATCTGATGTCTCTCCTGAAAAAACCCAATTTTATCCAATCACAAGTGTCCAATAGTTAACAGCACAATTCGCTGTAGGACATCGCGCAACAAAAAACAACTCGCCATAAAATACAAATCGCAACATACCCACAGCTGCAATCGCGCCAGCGTGTTGCCAGCTTGCCAACAGAGGGTAGAATTAATTTATACAAAAACTAGAGCCGACTGTCTTTATTTAGAAATGGTTAGTTGGTCTTAAACCGAAATTAAAAACTTGCGTATTGTTGCTTACTCGATATCAGCAGTTTTGTTTTTGTTGCAAGTTGTTGTGGTACCACAAATTACAGATTTTTGGTTCAAATACTTATTGTTCCGAAATTCGTAACAAAAATAACGGAATATTTGTGCTCGGGGAGTTTTTTTCATCAAACTAACATTTTTGACGGAATTTTTAAATATCATTCAAAAGGTGTTCTTGTCATGAACTTAATTTTGAAAAGATATTTACCTATGATTATCTTTGTAAAGTTACAGGGGTTTAAAGACTGCCATATTGCTCAATGTGGGACAATTAACGCGCGATATATTTGGAACGATTTCTAACACAGATTACATCTCCGCTCACGCGTTAATAAGGCGAAACGTATCACGCGTTGATAAACCCAAATTACCAATATAGCAATCTGTAAACCCGCCTGATTTTACGAAAGATAATCAGTCTTAGAAACTGTTCTAAATTAGTTAAAGGATGCTTATTTGCCATAATTGATTTGTTTCTAGGAGCTAAATCTATCACTTCGTACTTTATATGGCGTGTGGGATAAAATTTCTCACAAAAAACTCTAAAAATGAAAAAATTTATTTTTATTTTTTTATTTAATTTTTTCATGTCATTACTGCTCCCTAGAACTTAAAAGGCAGTCGAAACATTCAGGGCTTCGCCCCGATACAAGCAGCCTTGTTGATTATTTAAAAACTCATGAAAAAAAAAAACTTCAGCACATGAGAAAACAACTGACTGCGGGAAAAAGGAGAACCGTGCATGGAACTCCTCGAAAAAAAAGAGATCAAAGGACATTGAAATAGCTCTATGAAATTTTCGAAATCATTTGAAAGGAGTTCTCAATAAATATGTCAAAATTGAATTCCACTCCATTAACAATCTGATTTTCGTTTTCACTTGAGGCATTTTATGTATACTAATAAATTTCATTACTACTGCTCTTAACAATTGTTGCTTCCTTTTGCCAGTTTTCACACTTTTCTTAAACGCATTTTTTTTATAAATAGTATTTTGAAATTTTCTTTTCTTTTTGCAAGGAATTGTTTTCATCTTTTAGCTGATCCTGACTGTTTCTAGAATCTTTTTATAACCAAAAAATTAGAAGTCACTGCAAGTCTTATTTTATAATCATTGTGTTTGTTTCAAAAAGTCATTGAGTTTTTCGAATTCTTCAATATTGTTTTTTCTGTATGTTTGTATATTTCTTATAGTTCTTGGAAAAAAATCTGAACCTCAGAGGTTTTCCTTTTAACTTTTTTGTTAGTAAATACTCAAAAGTTTTCATTATTTTGTAATGTGGCATTCGTCTTATCTGAGTGTATAAAAATGATCATTGAAAAAGCTTTGTTGTAATAAAAAACCAAATTTTTATTTGTTCAAAATATAGTCATTAATTCTTCGACAGGTCATTCGTTTTTTTAAATTGTTTAAACGCTCCATGAAAAGCTCTGATATAAGGGAAACCAACTGAACCCTACAAAACTGTTTTTTTTTGTGTCTATGGATGTTATGAATGTTACTTAGGTTCGAACTAAAAATATCTCTCATAGTAGGAAACTTTACTAACTCAACTTTGGATATTTTTATTTTAAAAATGTCAAAAAAATTTCATCAGGTAATTTTTTACAGAAATTTTGATACATTTTCCCCGCAATTAAAAAATCTCACATGATACTCAAATAGCTCTGAAACGTTTTAATTGTGTTAAATACAGCTCTTATATTTTTAATATTAGAGAAAACATTTAAATCAAAAGTCAATTAACTGCATATTTGGAAACGGATCAATGATATCGAATGTTCTTACACGTACATTTTACGCTTTCCGGCCAAAAAAAACGTTAATAGATCAATTGAGCAATCTCCCCACCAATTATTGCTTGGGGGAGATAGCTTTATTGCTATTTGAGGCATGTTTATAACCACTTGAAAATAATTTAAATGTTATGAATCATTAGCCAGATTCTGCAATTGACAGTATCATACGAAATGTCATTTAAGAGTGAACAAATATTAATAAACTGTTGGATTTGAAATTCGATTTTTGTCTGTCTCAAAAAATGCTCCTGAGTACGATATTGGGAACTAAAAATTTTTTTTTGGATTTTAGGCAGAAATTTAGAGACAACTCGTTAATTTGAATTCCTCGAAAATTTACAACCCGTTAAACTATTTTTTTTTTAAATTTTCCCAACAATCATGGAAAACAAACTTCAAGTCAAGAAATTGCGGGCTCTGAACACAAAAGTTTTCCGTTTGCGTTAGCGGAAGTCTTTCGCAGCGTTTTAAGATTTCGGGGCGAATTCGCTCAATGAGTCTTTACTGTGGGGTTGAGCGATGGCTCAATTGATTCATTAATGAGTAAGAACTTTCGTTAGAACAAAACTTGTTGGGTGGTCCTCAAACTATCCGTTATCCTGTTGATTAAAAGTTCAATTTTTTGCTATCATACACATCTAAAAACGGACCAGAAGGTCTTATGACGATTTCTCAGGATCATGATAAATTGCTTAAAAGAAGTCTTACAACAATCAAGAAATTCATATTAGCCTGAAAACAGTATATTAAGAAAATGATTTCAAAATACTTTGTCAAATAATATGCATTTAATATAAATTGCCAATTGAATGTAAGCAAAACAGATATTTTCAATGGAGCGGAAACAAAATAAATTTTGTTAAATTGAGAATGAATTATTTGATAATTTTTTAGTTAAAGAAAAAATAATTTAACTGGGAAGTGAAAAACATCAGATCAAAAAAATGCTAAAACTTTTTAAGCGAGAGTCTCAAATTCACAAAATCTTCTAATAATCTGATCATTTGATGCATCAACTTTGAAGTGATGCAGTTATCCCCTATGATTGCTATTTTCTGTTTAGTTCTTGATATCTTGGTACTTTTTTGCAAGTTCTTATCAAAATAGTTTCAATCAGCATTCAATCAGCAGGTAGCAATTTGATGTTACCTGTAATCTTTGAAAACGGGTTTTGAACAGGCAACGTTTTTATTCAAAAAATCTGAAAACAAATAGAAAAAGTCTCTTTGATTTGGACAATTCCTTGAAACTCGAAACCTTGCAATCCAAAATTTCCATTTGATTCAGTTTTGTGGCCATCATGCTGACCGAATCTATTTGAAATTTTCTTCATGTTGTTTTCAAACTGAGAGGAAGGAGCGAGCGCAAAAAAATGCTTGAAAAAATTTCCAAAAAACGGCCTTAGGATGTCATTTAACGCAGTTTTTTAAAAAAAATCTGTTGCGCAGAAAAGTTAGAGAAGTATGGTTTTTATAGTATTGTGGGGGAGGTTATAAAACAACTCTGCCGGCCTAAAGAAGATTGACAAATTCATCGGGCTTTTTTTTGTTATAAAGCCCAACATTGATCTGTGAGATTTTTCAAAATTAGATTTTACAAAATAGAAAAAAATTGAAGCTTAATTTTAACTAAATAGCTTGTTTAACATTTTATTGGCATCTGTAACGCTTTGGTCAATTTGAGCAGCAAAATATAAAAGCCCCAAAACGTCGCGAACTTTTCAAAAACCTGCTCAATGTCAAAAGTTTTAGATCCACGTTTGCTGATCGGTGATGCACAAAACCCGCTTCGGCGTTGTTTTTTATGCTTATCGTCATATTCAGGAATTGCTTTGAAAGCGACGAAAACTCTCTGTTAATTAGTCTTTTCGTTTTCGTTGGTTTCAATTTATTATGCTCATCATTAAATAATTTTATCATAAAAAGACCACTCGAGAAAATCAACAGTATTATAAACACAGCTGTAAAATAAACAAAGCTGTTTTTAATTTAGAGCTTTTTTTTATTTTTGCAAAAACAAACCAATTGTAATAAAAGTTTGATCTCTTAACATCAAACTCATCTCAACTTCAAACTATTTTCTAGAGGTATAAAACTTTTTATACATGTTCAAAATCAATGAGTACCAAAAGCTTAAACGCAATAATCTATAAGACCAAACTTTCAGTTTATATTTTTTTGTAGAATGTTCTATCAAAAAGGTCCAGAAAATAAACAAAGCTGATGAACTTGAGTGATATAGAAAACAAACACGCCACTAAAATCAGCTGCTCTTTTTTTGGGCCTTAATGTATGAATGATCTGTTTTGGTAACTGTGCTGAATATATCAATCTAGATTCATTTTGATTATAAGCAAATATAATTTTCAATTGATAAAAAATTCACAAAGTCGTAAACATGAGATCCCTTGAGGTAATTTTTGCTGTTTTGTCTTTCGTCAGAGGAGGTTTCTCAGCCGATTGGACTTATGCAGGTAAGCCATCAAAACTTTCGCCTTCTTTCGTCAGTATAATTTCGGACATTTCGAAGATCTCATAATCTGGTTTATTCATTAACCAGATATCAAATACGTTCAATTAACCAAAAAGTTTAGGCAAAGAGTTTTTCGTAAATGAAAGGAGCACATTACAACACTTATTATTTTATAAAGATTTGAAGGAAAACATCAGTTGAACAAAAAACCATTTGGGGGAGCAGTGACGTGCGCAAAAATTTTTCTTTGGGTGGGGCGGGTTTCCAAAATGTTTGAAAATTTTTCCGACCTTTTTTTTAGGTTGACCAATTTGATTTACCGAGCTTTCCCAAACTAGTATAAGGACCCTATTTTGTGAAAAACCTTCTGCGCCGCAGGCAAATTTGTCAAAAAACAGGCCAAAGAAGGCGTTTTCAGGCACTTTTTCGAAAATTTTGAGCTAAAAATTGCGCTTTTTTGCCCAAGCCCCTTTAGAAAAATTTTGAGATTGTTCAGCGAAAAATGGATGTCATAAATTTATACCAAAGGGAGACCGAGAGGAGGTGGGAGGACGTTAACTTGATGCAGTTATAAAAACAAAAGCTAAAGCTATAAGTCGAGGGTTTTTTTTGTGTGGTACTAACTTTTGACAACCATTTGATCAACTTTTGGTCGACTGAGCCGTAAAAATTTTCTAGAGGCGCCTCTTCAACAATAAGAAATTACAATTTTTGGACAAATTTTCCAAAATATTCCAAAATTGGCATTTTAACCTTTTTTCCAAAAATTTGCTTGCTCCGCGGAAGTCTTTTAAAAAAGGTCGTTCGTTATGTTGTTTTTGGAGTGCTATGGAAATCAATTTTGTCGTCTTAGAAAAAGAGTTTGACAAATTTCCAATTTCTTTTTTGAAAAACCTCCCCCCTCGAGAAAATCCTGGATCCACCCCATGGAAGGGACATATTGCAAGGGAACCCTTTTTAAAACCTAAATTGACCCCAATTAAGGGTTTCATGACCTAAATGCATAACACTGTTCTCCTGTGTTAAATTCCGATTTCCGAAACTCTGATCAATCCCTTAAAAATTGTTTGTCAATAAAATCACCCCCTCCAAACGTTGTGCAGCAAGTTATGATATCACGCTTCGTTATCACATCGTGGGTGTCCCAGAAGTTATCTCTAAATCTCCAAAAAAGTTTTTGACGCGCATGAAAACAATCAATGAACTAACAGAAAAGGACTAACTGTGTTTGTAGATGAATGAACAATTTTGCTGTAATTTTTTGTAATTTCACTGGAAGATGAAAATGTCCTATTTCTTCCTTTCTTCATTTCAGGGGAAATTACTAGGTTGAAATCTCTTCAGCTGTTGTATCTGGGTCAGATCTAAGGTGTTCTCGAGTGTGGGGGAGGGGGGAGGGGGGGCGTTTCAAAATATTTGTTGGCCTCTTTACCAGGCCGACAAAAGTAATTTACCGATGTCTCCCGAAACACCTTAAAGACCCTATGTTTTGACAAAATTTTCTGTGCCAAAAAAAGTCAGGCCTGTATGACAATTATGTTTAATTTGCGAATCATTTTTCAAATAAATTTAAAATCTGGAAAAGGTTTTTTTAACTTTCCAATACTCTGTGTGTATCGTCTAGGGGTTGAACCGGCAAAAGGTGCAAGAATTTTTGGTTCTTCTTTTCCTTTTCCCTCATTTGACATAAGCGTCAAGTATGGTGTTTGAAGAGGCTATTTTCAACGCTGAGTAGGAAGAACAAACATGATTGTCACATGCCTGTAAAAATCGAACAACAAAAACAAAATAACTTTTAAAAACTGTAATTCAAGCAAGGAATTATCACTAACAACCCTGAGAGTCCCTGACTAGGGCTAAAACTGTTACTAATCTAGGTTAATTTAATTTAGAATATTCTTGTGAAGACTATTTTGATCTAGAGTTTTCTGATCTAGAAAACTCTGATTTAAAATATAGTGCAAAAGAATATTCTGGTTTAGAATGTTCTATTCTAGAATAATCGGATCTAGAATATTCTGATCTGACAATTTCTGTGTTAGAACATTCTGAACAAAAAAAGTTCTGATGTAGAAAATTCTGATCTAGAATATTCTGATTGAAAAAATTCTGCTTTTATCTTGAATATTCTAGAATATTCTGAAAGAACACTTTTATCTAGAATATTCTAATATTCTAATGCAGAATTTTTGGCTCTAGATTACTTTGATCTAGAATGTTCTGATCTAGAACACTGATCTAGAATTTTTCTGATTTCTAATATTCTGATCTACGTTTTTCTGGTCTAGCCTTTTCTTATCTAGCGTATAAAGATTATCTAGCGTATATAAATTATTCGGATCTAGAACACTCTTACCTAGAATCTTCTAATGAAAGTTATTCCGATCTAGAAAATCATTATTTAAAACATTTGATCTCTTTTGTTCTGATCAAAAAAATCTGATCTGGAATATTTTGATCTAGAACATTTTTATCTAAGATATTCTAATGAAAAACATTCTGGTCTATACTATTCTGATGTAAAATTCCAATCTAGACCAATCTGATCTCGAAAAAACAGATAAGAAATTCTGATCTAGAACATCATGAAGTAGAATATTCAGAAGCAGAACATTTTGATCCAAATTTTAGTCTAGATTATTCTGATCTAATATAGACGTTATGTTTCAGACCAAGCAGCCTGGGTGGGTACTCCAGCGGCCACTACGGGCGGCTGGGTGTGTGATGGGATGCGTCAATCACCTATTGACATCGTCACTTCAAATGCCGTACCTTTTCTCGTTTCTTCGTTTAAATTTTCATCTGCCGTTCCAGATAAAATCCTATCAAGCTCTGGCGTAGTGGTTTTAACAAAAAAATGGGCAATCCCTATTTCTTCATTACGAACCTCCTAAAGTGACTTAAATTGATTTTCAATAAAAATTTTTCAGTATTAACTGTTGTGAAAATTATTGTGGCTGGGTGTTCGACGCGCGCGATTTTGATAATTGTTGTACTTATGTTTCGGATGCAATATATTCAGCTCGTTTTGATCTCTTCTCCCTATCTTTGAAATTAAAGTTTAAAAAACGGTTTCGAAATTGTCAAACTGCTTAGGAATATTGCGTGATTGAACAAATTAACTATTTCTAACCAAATTTATTTTTCATACGTTACAGTTTAGCATCACGTATTTAGCCATCATAACTCGTTAAACAACTGTGGAAACAGAAAACTTGATGTGTGTTTATGTGGAAAAGTGCAATAACTTGTTTTGATTTTTTGTCTAGACGTTCAAATGTTAATGCTACAAAACGGAGTAGGGCCAGATCAAAATTTACCGGGTTTTGGCATAGGGAACGTTCTCGGAATCTGAACCTATAATAAATTTTTCACAGAGCTCTTTGCAAAAACAAGTATTAGCAACATCTCTCAACACACCTGTAGAAACAACTTATTATTTATTTAAGTTTACTTTTTAAAAATAAAACTTACTTCAGGTGCATGACACTAATCTAAATGGAGGATTCGTGTTTGCTAGTGACCTGGGGGCCAACATCGCATCTGCAGAGCTCGAGAACAAAGGATACACAAGTTAGTCACAATCAAAAAAAAGTAACCAATTTAACACTTACCCCCAAAGACGTTTTAGCGAGGATGACGTTCAACTGGATGTTAAAAACTGAGTATTATGCCCTTATAAATTTCTCGCATCTGGAAAAACTTTAACCTACCTTATATGCGCGTATCTTCAACATGATTTGACTCAATAATCATGAAATCAATTGTCACGATGTCAGCACATACAGAAATTCTGTAGAGGGAATTTCTAAAATTCTAATTGTTAAATTTTTAAGTGTTTAAAGTTTAAACTTTTTTAAGCTTTAAAAGCTGACCTAAATCAAAGGTCTGAAATCTTGAAATTTTGGGTTTTAAAAAAACTCTATTTCCCTCCCCTCTTAACTCTAAATGAGTATAAAGGCTCCTTTTAATAATGTTCATACTTTGATTCTCAGTGCAAATGACGGATGCAGCCTACACGACCTCTTCCATGACCATATCCGGGGCAGATCTTCCTATGAGTGACTATGCCTTCTGGCAATTCCACTTCCACTGGGGCACAACTGACGACCCCGGGTCGGAACACACCGTCAATGGAAAGAGGTACCCCGCCGAGGTAAGAAAGAGAAAAAATTTAAATCACCGTTTTTTGGGCCGGTGGTATAAAAATTAAACGACCAATTAACACGATCGAGTGGTTTTATTATTTGTCTAAATAACTCGAATTATACGACCCTTCTCCCAGGTTTCGAAAAGGAATGTATCAAATGTGATCAGCCAGTCCAAGAAAATTTGCTGATTTGTCTGAAGTAATTATCTATGACTTGAACTGTTATGAAAAATTGAGGCAAAAGCAAGACTGTTAGCAAAAAGCTATATACTTGGTATACAAATATGTAAATAATTGTGATATTAAATGGATATAATAAACGTATTACGTAGTAATGAATCTATAAAATTGAAAACTGCCACATTCGGGTCGCAGTGGTTGATATGATATTCGTTTAATCTGACCGTTATTTTGACAAAAAATTGGGTATTTCACCATGGGTGGATCTAGAATTTTCTCGAGGGGGGATGGTGCGGATTTTCAAAAAGTTTTCAAATTTTTTGTCGACCTTTTTTTTATGTCGACCAAAATGATTTTTTTTCTGAGCTTTTCTAAATCAATATAAAGACCCCATTTTGATCACATTTTCTGCGCCACAGGCAAGTTTATAAAAAACAGGCAAAAAAGGGGCATTTTTAGGATTTTTTTGAAAAATGTTGACCAGAAATTCGCATTTTTTCGGCGCGCGCTTCACCCTCAAAATTAGTTTGATTTGGCGCCAAAGTCGCCTTTCGAAAAATTTTAGGGTCAGTCAGTCAAAAATGAAAAAATGGGTACCTCATACCTCAAAACAGTACAAAGGGGAGGGAGAACTTTGGTTCGGCAGGGGGTTGAATCCCTGAGGGGGGGGGGGGAGGGTGCCCCCCATCTAAATTTGCTGCTTTCCTCAATTTCCATTTAAACAATCGTTGAGTGCGCGATACTTTGACACGAATACATAGTTCGCCTTAAATTTTCTCCTTCATAATAAAAACTTCAAATTGGTAGTAAGCTCCATCAAATTTGTTGCAAGTTTCCAATTTTAAACCACCAGAACTTGAACAAAAACGATTGCAGCTGCGATACCTCCTCAAATTTGAAATCCTCGAATAGAAACCTTTATTGGAGTATAGACCTTTTTCAATGAAAACTTACGTTTCAAAAAAGGGTCGGAGAATGAAAAAATCTAAGTTAGTCTGAATTAGAAAACAACATCCCAAGCACATATAATAATATGTTGAAAATTGGAACAAAAGAAAACACGTACAAATGAGTTGTTTGTTCGAAAAAAAATTATCTGATGACAAGTGTGAAAAAATTATTTGTGCAACTGATGATTAGCCATTTGCCATACAAATCTTGCACGGATGTGTTTGGTTGGGCATTATCTTCTATGGTGAGCAACCCGCGTAGGTATACTCATATTATAGGATGCCAGCTTAATAATTGTTCCTCGTTTTGTCATCTCTTAGTAAATCTTTTTATTACCAGACATTATGTTTCTTGTTAAGCATCTCAATACTTTTTTTTCAATGAATATTTTTATTTCAAACTTTGTGACGAAAGTTTTATGAGGTTTTTCCTTCAGACAACTTGAAATTTTAAACTATCTTTTTGTCCGGAGTTTTTGTGTACATCAATTACAAATATTGAAAACGACCGCTCTTGGATAATTAACGCGCAATATGTTTAGTTCTATTAAAGCTTAAAAGGTAGTTTTCCAATTTGATTTCAGGCATATTTTGTTGATATGTTAAAAGAGTGCAAAAAAGTTTTCATTGAACTTCATATTGGGGTGAAAGACTTTCAATGAAAAACTCTGACAACAAATCCATAATTCTTTACATTCACCTTGATAATTTTCTACTTTTGTTAAATAAAAAGTGTTCTGTAGACCTCAAAACGCATTCACCGAACAATAATGTCTTTGCCCTAATGAGACGTGCATTGTTGCATTTCTTTAGTTTTGTTGCTTCTAACCATTGAATACAAAGTTTCGCGTGTGTTTTAGGTTCACTTCGTATTCAAAAGTAAATCTACGGGTCTTACCGATCCAAACTCCTTGGCTGTTCTGGGATTCTTCATCGACGTTAGCAAAACAGTTTATTTTTAGTTTAAACGAAGTCTATTTGTTTTTCCCAGTTTTTACATCTGGGAATTGTAGCTGGCTAAAATAGCTCAGAAGATTGGCCAAAAGTTTTAAAAAATTGCTTGCAGCCGGGAATTGTAGTTTTTTACATGCGAAAAAAGTTGCTGCCCAAAATAGCTGACAAGCAATTAGCCAAAAGAGTTTTTAAAAATGGCTATCATTTTGACAGGAATGAGTAATTGAAGTATAATCAGTGACAATACTTTCAAGTACAAATTTTTGCACTCCTGGTTTTATATCTTCTGCAAAACACAAAAACCCTGCTAAAAATAATCAGTTTCTATGGATAGACGCTTAGGATGCGTAAGTTGCGTTTGGAATTTATCCTAAAAACTATTTAAGAAAACAAAAGAAAATTACAGAACTAAAATGGGTGCATTTAAAAAAAAACACCCATCCAATCTCTAAAGTCTTGGTATAAAATGCAAAAACTGGGAAGCTGATGAAAGCACCAATTGATAAGTTTTTGCTATTCAGATGGTAAATCAGAAGTTTATTTTTTTTAAAAGAAAATTCCCTAGCCCAAAAGAACCTGCGAATATTTTCAAAAAAGTTCTGGACGAGTGTTTGTTTATAATTTCGGAGATTTCGAAGAAAAAGATGATTTTGTATCGGGCTACATTAACATTTGTTTTTTGAAATTATTTTAAATGTCTCAGATTAGTTTGGTTTTCTCGAGGTTACAAGATCAAATAGAAACACATAAAAAAAGCATATTAAATCATTCATTTTGAGTAGTTACCTTTACTAATCTGTTCAGTTGTTGGGTTTTCTGATTTTTTTCACAGCAGGATTAATAAATTTTGAGAGATATGGAAAAAATCAAATCCATAAACTAAGTTTCAAAATGACAAACACAAATTACTAAAGCTTGATGAAAATCAGTCAAGTTTTCATTCGTTTAGCAAACATCAGTTTTATTTTGCAGAAGTATGACGACAACAGTTTCGAGCATGGAGGTCAATGGAAAAATGTAATCGACGCTATTACAGCTGCTGCAAGCACCGTGAGTTTACATAAGTTCTCATATAGGAAGAAAATAAAAACTCAAAAAAAATCATTCGGAAATAACCGCAAGTTAAATTTACAAAA